CTCCTCCCAAGTCTTTTTCCCCATTACACATAACTTTATCCTAGTCATTTCTCTATCTCTCAATGTACTCAACTTAAGATCCTCCCAATTGGTAGGACCCCCTTTGAGCATATGCGAAAGCAAACAAACCAGGGCTTTTTCACTGTTTCGAACCTTATCCTTGTTCCCTTCATCATTTCCTTCATTTAATCCTAATCGGGACAAACTATCAGGCAAACAATTCTCTTTACCGCAACGATATCGGATCTCCACATTAAAGCTGCCCACCAACAACAACCAACGTTGTAACCGGGGAGACATCATTAACTCCCGATTGTTTTTCCGAAATAAGTGAATTAACGGTTTGTGATCAGTAAAAATTACAAATTTTTTACCAATCAAATATTCACGACATTTTGTCAACCCGAAAATCACAGCCAGGGCCTGCTGTTCAATCACAGAATACCTGGTTTCCACCTCACGAAAAACACGCGAGAAAAACAATACGGGTCTCTCCAAGCCCTCTAACCTGTAATAACGCACCACCAACTCCTTTATTTGAGGCATCTACCGCCAAAACAATTTCCAAGTCATTATCAAAAGACACCAAAACTGGCTCTTTTCCAATTTTTTCCTTTAAAATTTCAAAAGCAATCTGCTGTACATCCTTCCACTCATAATGAATTCCTTTTTTCAATAAATCATATAACGGCGCCGCCACCTTTGCAAAATCTTCCACGAACCTATGGTAATAATTGACCATACCCAAAAAAGACTGCAACTCAGCCTTAGTGTCAGGCCGTTTCATGTTCGATATATTCTTCAAATTTTTATCCAAAGGTTTCACTTCAATTCCATTAATCCGATGACCCAAATATTCAACCTCCATTACCCCCAGAACACTTTTCTCCTTACTAGCTCTCAAGCCTTTAACACAAATTCTCCTAAACACTTCCTCCAAACGTTGATTATGCTGCTCCGGCGTCACTCCAGTAATTAACACATCATCCATATAATAAAATACTCCTTCCAATCCTTGAAAAACTGACGCCATGGTCCGTTGAAAAATGGGAGCAGATACGCTCAATCCAAATGGTAATCTACAAAACGCAAACAACCCCTTTGGAGTCGTTATCGTCAATAATTTACGGATTTCCTTTCTCAAAGGTAACTGCAAATACGCCGACGAAAAATCCACCTTGGAAAAATATTTCGCACCCTTCAACTGAGCCAAAATCTCCTCAATCCTAGGCAATGGATATTTAACCTCCACCACCCATCGATTTACCGTGACCCTGAAATCCGCACAAAGTCTCAATTTACCATTTGCCTTTTTAACAGGCACTAACGGAGTTGCCCAATCTCTATATCCCACAGGAATAATAATGCCGTCCTTCACCCATCTATCTAATTCCTCATCGATCTCCTTCCTCCATTCGAAAGGAACTCGCCGACAAGCCAAAAAGATCGGTGAAAAACCCTCCCTCAGTTGAACATCAACTTGATAATCATTTAAACAACCTAATTTTTCATCAAAAATAATGCCATACTGCCTTACTAGAATAGGAATAGCTTGATTAACCTTATTCCATTCCTCTTTTCCCCCGGCCACAATTTGCTTCTCATTCCCCTCATCATTAAAATCCAACTTGCTCGATTTCTCCATCATCTCCGAAATTTCAAATTTTATTATTGGTATTATCCAAATTTTCACTCTCTCCAACATCCACTATTACATTATCACTAGTATTAAAAATATTCCAATAATTATTGGGAGGACCAAGCTTGGTAATCCAATCCCACCCCATAACAGTCTCAACATTTTCCTTTACTACCCATAAATCAAGGAAAAATATAGTATCATTAAGATTAACCCCCAATTTAGCCTTTCCCAACACAGCGACTTCCGACCCATCAAACTGCCTGACACACATAGCCTCTTTTTCCAGTTTACCCCCAGGCCAATACTTATAAAAATTCTCCTGCGACATTAGAGAAATACTAGCCCCGGTGTCAAATAGCATTTCTATATTCCTATGATCAACCTTCAAACTAACCCTCGGACACAAACATGGTCCATCTAATTTTTCCGTCATTAAAATATCATATGTTTTAATCGGAGAATCAGCGTTTATTTTATCTAAAATAATAATTTCATTGGCATTCTCATTGCCCCTTAAATTCAACTCGGAATTCAAATTTTTATTACTGACAATTACATTTCTCTTACCAAGATTTGTGGGACATCTTTCCCAAATAAAATTCTTAACATCCCTTCTAAGAGAATAACGGACAATATTCCTCGGATATTGTTCCCACCTAAATCGACTAACCTCCCTCTCAGGGAAATTACGAGAATGATTTCTTATTTTAATTCTATCATTTCCCTCATTTCGACTAATAATATTAAATGTTTTATTATACAAATTTTTCCGAACTCTCAGAGCCCCGACTCCTATATGATTCACTCTGCAATCATATAGTCAACACGAATTTCGTGATACTTCCATGCAGTCCACTGCTACATGTCCCGGTCTTTTACATTTAAAACATAATCTGGCCCCATTTAAACTAACCATTTTTACATTAGCATTTCCTATTTCAGGTCTCTTTAACGGAAATCCATCTTTAAACCTTTGCTCTGGGACTATGCAGGTATCCCTTTTATGTCCTCGCCATCCGCAACGATGGCAAATGATCATTTCAACAAATCTTTTATTTCCTGACACTCCTTTATTTTCCTCGTAATCATTAAATTTCTTATTCATATTTATATCACCCACCTGGCTCTTAACCGGACCTTTGCTCTCCTTCATCAACGCATTGATGGCTTCTTTCATTTCTTTCATTTCCAGGAGGATCCTATCTGACCTCTCCCCAACATTTCCAGCCTTGATTTCCTCTAAAACATCTTTTAGATTACTTTCCAAGTCTGCTATTTTCTTCCCATAAATATCCGATATTAAATTAAAATACGTTTCCTCCATTTTCTTTTTATAAACATCTGACACCGCAGTGTCCTTCTTCCAATTGCAATACATGCCTGCCAGTACCGCAGTACCCCTTTTTACCAACAATTTCAATATAATAATCAATAAATACATCATTAATAATATTCCCACAGTAATCAACTGTTTACCTAAATCCAATTCATTAAAGTTCTTATACATAACTTTATAACCCAAATCCTTATAAAAGAGAACCTTATCCCCAAAACTATGCTCCCCACTAGGCCTAAAAAAATAAACCATTTGCTCATAAATTTTTTAATTAATACTAATAATCAATTACAAAAATTTAAATATTTGTAGAAAATATTAATACAGCACCTTAAATAAAAACTTCTCTATCAGAATCGTATAATGGTTAGTACAAATGCGCAGTCAAAAATTCTTAAAAAGATTATATAATTAAAAATTTTTTGTTTTACCTTCTAAACCGAATAACTCCTAGGAAACTATCAGCGTCACAAGACACCACTAAAAAAAAACTACAAACACAAACTAAAACCTATCTAAAATCTACCCCAACCAAATCCTAGAAACTTAATCAAACTTTCTAAAAAAACGAATCGTCAAGAATTATATGAAATTATCAAATCCAAAGACAAATAAAACTACAATATAAATCCAAAAATTTTATTCAAAAGAAAATTTCATTTCTCAAAAAAAATAAATTTATATATAAAAAAAATTAATTTTTTTAACAATGATCAAAATCCGTAATTTTTTATAAAAAAAAAATTAATTAATAATATAATAATAATCCACATATAATATATTACACCTAATCTTTCTATCCAATCAACCTTATTTTAATTGGTTGATTGGCATTTCGCGTAAAAAAAAAATATAAAACGTTCACGTATTTACAAATACGACACTTTCATCTTATGATTTTGATCAAGGTAGATAATCAAGTGAGTTTGAGAGTAAATAATTTGTCAAATGTAAAGTTCATAAATATTAAAGAAGTTTCGATATCGGAATTGATTCCAGATCGATGTATCAAAATATGGAAAAGTAATCCTCATGGACGAATGAAATTCTTTCAAAGAAAAATAAAGACCGAAGTAAACGAAGATGAGAGATTTATGAAAATTTTTTAAATTCATATTTATATATTTTAATTTCTATAGATATCGGTGGTTTTTTGTAGTGTTGTTAAAAAGCCCGATTCGGGTCGATTGTCAAAAACAGCCAGATTAAGATTATAACCAAAATAATATTATGTAAGCCTGATAATTTTGTTCATAGATGGCAGAAACGTTTTTCTACCCACCAAATCTTGAGGCTTACATTACACAATATTATTTTAGCTAAAATCTTAATCGGGCCGACACTAATATTTTGCGATCTTATTTTTAAATTATAATATTATAAATAATAATTTATTTATATTCGTAATAAAAAAATTTGATAACTTATATATATATTATTATATTTAATAATATTTTTAAAAAAATCCAAGACCCCCCCCCCCCCCCCTATTCCAAATACTAATATTTTGCGATCTTATTTTTAAATTATAATATTATAAATAATAATTTATTTATATTCGTAATAAAAAAATTTGATAACATATACATATATTATTATATTTAATAATATTTTTAAAAAAATCCAAGACCCCCCCCCCCCTATTCCAAAATTTTAAGCAATACACAACTGTTCATTACTATGAATAATAAAAGTTGAGGATATATATGTTAGCTAAAATACATGAGGCAAACTACAACTCTTTCATAGGCTATGAAATTATCCATGAGTAGTGTTGTTGAAAGGGTTGATTTAGCCAATTTTTTAAAAACGATTCATTAAAATTTTATCTAAAATAATATTACTTAAAATAAGTCTTGAAATTTCGCTAATAGATATCCATATCTTTCAGTTATCTATGAACAAAATCTCCAGATTTGTGTAATATTTATTGGTTGAAATAGTGAATTAGTCGTTTTTAAAATTAAAATGTGCTTAATCAGCCGTACCCATGATAATGAAGTACTTTATTTATGACTGACTTTCGATCTTTCTACTTCATATTCGATTTAAAAATTTTAAAATCTAATGTCACTTGCCGATGAACTATTAGCTGATTTAGAAGAAGGGGAAGAGGAGCAGGATATTTATGATGTCAATATGGATAAGGATATTGAGGATGTAGATGATATTGACGAAGAATCTAATAAAAAACAGTATAAGGATTCTGTTTTTAATATTGCAAAATTATGGGATAGTGATCAAGTATTATAATAATATATAATATAATATTTTAAATCAGAATTTAAGTTGAAATCTGTCATGATCCAAATTGAAGAAAAAATTAAGCAACAAGAAGATATGGGATTTGAAATGAGTGCACAAAGTTTTGAAGGGATAATTGAAAATCATCATGAATACCAACTCATTGTTGAGGCAAATAATTTGGCTGTTGAAATTGAAAATGAAATAAGTAATTTAAAAATATAATTATGATTTATGATAAATATTTTCAAAATTTTTGGGCATCATTTGTCTAGAAATATATTTAAAAACTCATACAAAAAAATAGTTTGCTCCAAATTTAATAAAATTTAAAACAAATATTACTTCATTATATATGAATACAAAAATATGAGGTATACCTTTATGACCTCATGGGACATATTATAATTAATATTTTTTTAAAATAATTATATGATCTAAAAAGTTCCTGTCAAAACATCAATGCCTGAATGCACCAGGTTTTTAGGTGAAGACTGAACTGAGCAGAATACTAACATCAAATATAATATATTCATTTATTGATTAATTTCTTGCTATTATTAATCAATAAAAGTATTTATACCATATTTGTAGCATTAGAGACCTCCATAGCATAGGTTATGAGGGTGTGCCTTATATGGTGCAAATAGAAAGACTAAACCTCATTATGGGGGAATTAGGATAACTATATACCCCATTTATGGTTCTATTACAAAAATTAGCACCAATTATAGTATAGTCCAGGACCAGTCTTTTTATTTAGAACCACAGTCTGGATCAATCTTTTTCTTAAGGAGCATGGTCTGGTCCATCTGAGGGTATTGGTCCAGACCAAAGACCGGACCATGACCTTCTCTATTTTCAATCCATATTTTTTGATTTAAATGTATAACTAATAAAGATAATTTGGATTTTTACCCTAAATTTTTTGACAAATTTGATATTTTATTTGTGATATTATAAATTCTAGTTACATTCAAGATCAAGTTTATAAAATTTAAAAGTACTATCATTTTAAAAATAGCTATTATACCCCATTTTGCAAATAGTATTGAATAACAGATAAATCCTTATCTTTGAAATGTATAAATATTTTATAGTACATATTTTGTGTATTAAATTTTCTCTCATGCAAATTGGCCTATGACAAATTTTCTTAACTATTAAGAATTTTTTGACAAGTTTATGAATAATTTTTGGAATATACTTACAAAAATACATATTGAATATTTGTTATTCATATTCAATTTGTATTTTCGATCAAATAATTGTATATTTCGCCATCATTATTTGATTCGGAATTAAATCTTTTAAAAATACTTTCAAAAATTTATTATTAAATTTTAAATTGATTTATAGATGCCGAAAAAAGTTTTAAAATAAAATGTTTCACAAGGAACATGTTAATAAATTTAAATATTTTTAAATGTCCACAAATTATTTTGAATAATAATTATACAGATAATTCCATATAATAGATAAAAAAAATTATTGGACTGACAATAAATTTTTTATATTCATATTCGTAAATTGTGAATCGAATATTGAATTCCTTTATATAGGTATAATTTGAAATATCTTAAAATCTAATTATGTTAAACAGCAGTAAGGATTATTACCATCTTAATAAAAATATCTGTATATTTACATATAGTATTAAATAAAAAGATAAATCCTTATATTTTCTGGTGAAACTTGGAAATATATTGATATTTTTATTAAATTTTCCCTCATATGTATTGGCCCATGACTAAATTACTTACTAATAAGATTACTCTAAATAATTTGACGAGTATATAATTAATGAACTTTTTTAATATGCAAAATATATTTATGTAAATCTTAATAATACATTTAAGTTTTTAATATTTGTTGGCAGTATCAGGGCACATATCTCATTGATAAATCATCTTTGTAAATATACCATGATATAGCCGTGGCTCTGCCGAATTTTTCTTTATAGATTTAAGTTGTTCCCAAGCTTCTAATGTTTAAGATAATGAGACCGATATCTGCATTATGCTTTTTTAAGAGTCGCATATCGATTGTTGTCATATCTAGTATATCATTACAGCTAACTAATACATTGTTCCCTATTTTCTCGATTGTTATTAATTCACAAACTTTGCTTAAAATCCACATTATTTTTTTCTTTCTGTGAATGAGATATAAGCTTTAGGCTTCATTTCTGGTAAAAATATATAAATGTTTTTAAAATTTCTACCAATATTATTAGCTGGTGTTTTTTTTATGAGAACAATTGTAAAATTCAATTATCTATATAAAAATATAGTGTATAAAAAATCAATATAAAAACCTGAATTTATTTTATCCTTTATTAAAATAATTAATAAATTTTTTGTGGGAATTTTGTAGTTCTGATATTAAATAAAATAGTTAAAATAATGTTATATAAATATATATCATTTTACACTCCATACTTTTTATAACTATTATTTTTTTCTTCTCCTTTCTTGATAATCCTATTACCATAAGGTCTGATTTTTTATATCTGCCTTGTCTTTTCATCCGTGCTAGCAATTTGATATTTTTCATCTCCATATTATCTTTTTCTAATTATTTAAAAAACAATATAATATAACATAAGTTGAGTTGAGTTAATCAGATTTTTTTAAAAAACTGCTACTTTCTTCTTTGTTGTTTATCTCTTTCACTAATCATGTCTAGATCTAATGATAGCTTAAATATATATATATTTGAATATAGAAATTGCTATTATTTTTAATAATTAACGATATTTGTATATCATGAACATTGTGAGGATATGAAGTAAAAATGTCATAAAATGATATAATATATCATAAAAATACCAATCTCGGATGACGAGACAGCCTCAGTGTAGGGCACCTAATTATCCTTTGGAGAGTTTGAAGAAAAATATCAAGGAAAAATATAATATATCATTAAGATAGCAGATGGCAAGAAAGCCTTAAAGTAGGACACCTCATTATCTTGGACAATTGAAGAGTCTGAAGTAAAAATGTCAAAATAAAGGCCATAGAATTTACTATAGCTGACACGTCTTTTTATATTATGTGCAGCTTTAATGGAGAAATTACCACCACAGAGAAATATAACTAACAGGAGAGGATGTTACATTATTTCTGGATATGCTACCAATATTATATGTGCATTCTGAAGCTGAATATGACAATCTCTATATACGAGCATGCTTAGTTAGAACCCTCCAACAGTTACTAAATATTATGAAACAAATTGGCATTATATCAGAAAATAATGGGTGATCCCATTTCATGCATCTACCCCATTTTTTTAATGCCACAAATAATCGAACTGAAGCAATGAATCACAGATTATCACGAAATTTTAAATAATTTTTTAATATCCATGCAAGCTATAGTAAATTCTGAGGTGCCCTACTACAGTGAGACTGTCTCGCCATTCAAGATTGGTATCTTTATGATACATTATATTATTTTATGACATTTTTATTAATAGAATAAATAGTGTCATTCTTATAAGAATAATTTTCTGATTGAACCATTATTAAAACAAAATAAAAAATAAATAAATGAAAATTAATAATTTAACATTTACAATAAAATTTATTTTAGCTATACTTATATTTTCATTTAGAAATTTAGATATTAGTCTGTTTCAATTGTTATGATTTCAATAAATAAAAAAAAAATTTGGTTTTATTGACTTTCCTATATTTATATATAAAATATTTATAATTTGAATATATTTGGATAACTGCAATGTAATTATTATTTTATTATTGAGTTTATATGTGGCATCAATAAATAGAACTATTATCTTATATCCCCATAAGTTGATTTTTTTCCTCTATTATCTCAACTATTGCTCCCTTTTCCTGTTTTAATTTATGAATTAATATGAAAAGTATATTATCTGAGGGCTTGTAAAATTTAAGTGTTAAACCAGGTAAAAAATAAAAAGTAAAAAAAAATTAATAAATTTATTTTAAAGCACTTCATGCCATAAAATAAATTTTTAAATGTAATTGAATTTTAAAAATATTTTTAAAAAATCCTATAAATGAGCTATGTAATTTATACATTTGCTCAATCTGGAGTAGCCCATTAAGATTTTACAAAGGTTATCGTCTAAATATTTTTAAAGAAAATTTTAATTCTTTCTAAATTTAAATTTTATATTCATATTCTGCAAATGGCTGGCCCATGAAATTTTTAGACCAACCCAGCTTTTGGGCTGAGCTTTTCAAATCTCTAACATTTAAAATACTGTATAAATATTTTCATTGATTGATAATAGAGGGAAATCAATCAAAAAAACCTCCACCATATTTTTATATTAAATCAGATCTGCATGGTACAATGACAGACATTGAAAATTATGTGATAAAAACTTTTAGATAATTTCTTATTTAAAAAAGTATATAAATATTATTAATCATTTAGGGGAAGAAAATAAAATACATCATCTTAGTGAAAATGATATTGCTCATTTTATACTAGTTTTCATAGATTTTACCTATGATATCATATAGGCTTATCTATAATTTTTTATATTAAAATTGAAGTGATCTATTTTTCTATAAGGTTTTTAGATTTTGTTTTGAACAAAAGATCCCCAAAAATTATTAATTTTTTTTTAAAAAAATTTTAACACTAAATTTATTATTTATTAGCATATAGTTTTTAATCACTCATTAATTGAATACCGACACTCATAAAAAGGCTAATTTTTTTTATGTGTCTAATCCTGGTATCTCTAATGGTATTACGGATAGGATACAAATTTTAGTTTGCCTTTATATACTAAATTTAGTAAAAATCGAAAGTTGTCTTTAAATCATGTTTTTTTTCCTGATGATATAATATGGCCCTTCATTTTAAAATTTTAAAAGGTTTTTAGAATTGGAAGGTATTAAGTTATTAAGTATCAACCTCAAAATTTATAAACACTCATTATAACTGGAACTTATCAATCCCTTTAATAATTTTGGGGGTAGGAAGAATTATTATATTTAATCTTATTAACATTTTCTCTTCTTCTTGGGAGATATTTATGTGAAATCCGATATCCAGCTATTTTGTCCTTTTTGCTCCTGTGATTTCAGGATTTCTATCTGCAATATTTGTCGAGGGAGAAAAGAATGATAAACATAGGATGGAAAATCCTATGAGGTTGGGAAATAGGGATTTCAGGATTTCTATCTTATTTGTCATCATATTAATACTGACAATAACTTGAAATTTACTGTAATTAGATATTTGGTTATAGCTTATATCACTTAAAGCATAGCTTTGAAGCAGCTAAGAATTTTATCCAAAATATTAATAAGATTTAATTTTAATAAATTATTATAGGTTTTGAAGACCTACGGTTTAAATTTTAACCTAAAATCCTTTTACTTTAGTATAATACTAGTAAATAATAAGATAAAATAAAAAGAAGTATTCTAACCTTTCTATCATATATCCCCTTTACCTTTTTATTAAAGATTTTGGGTATAATATTTAATATTAAATAAATAGATCAAACTATAATCATGCGATAATAGTAGTAGTATCCAACCCCCGATAGCAATAAAAGTATTACTACTATTATCGCATGATTATTGATAAGGCTAATAACCCCGACTAACTTCATTAAAAAAATATTAGAGGGTGGAAACCCCGACACAGAAAACAACAAAATTATTAGTAAACTAATTCCTATTACTTTATACATCAACAAATAATTAGCTTTCACATTAATCACCCTTAAAACTATTATTCCCAAATTTTTTACTCTAAAAATTAGAAGGATGTACATTCCTCTAAATAATAAAAAATAAAATACTCCTCTTCTCACCAGTAAAACTATCCATACTGATATCCCAATTGAAGAGTACACTATAATTATTATAAAACTTCTCATATAAATTGGCGCTAGTGATCTGATTAGTGCTCTTAACCCTAGACAAACCATAATTGGTTTGTCTCAAGATCAAAAATAAGAGGCTGGCAGTTCTTTGTACCAAATAGTACAATAATAAACCGGAATTAACTTTTGCAGTGTAGACATTGGTACAAAGAACTGCCAGCCTCTTATTTTTGATCTTGAGACAAACCAATTATGTATGGGTGCCAATCCTGCTTTCATTATATAATGAAAGCTTACATATGTAATGTATACTTCAAATTACTACAGCGAGGAATGATACACCCCAATAAGTTATACTCCTATATCATTTTGATGCACCTTCCTCCTTGTTTACCTTGGTTATTGGGGTAACTTAAATGATAAATAAATCTATCCGAAAATCTGAAATATTTAATGAAATTAATAAATTCATTATTGATCTCCCAACCCCCCCTAATATTAATTATTGATGAAATATAGGATCAATTACAGGATTATTTTTTATATCCCAATTTATTACCGGATTCTTTCTTTCTATACACTACATTTCAGACATTAATAAATCATTTTTTATAGTGGTATCTATTGAAAATAATATTTGGGAGGGATTTTTATTACGCAACCTTCATTCTATAGGAGCATCTTTTATGTTCATTTTTATTTATTTGCACATCTTTCGTAGTCTATTCTATGGATCATTTGTTATAAATTATATAGTGTGATCCTCGGGGGTAATTTTACTTCTTTTAACTATAATAACAGCCTTTTTAGGGTATGTTCTTCCATGAGGGCAAATATCTTACTGGGCAGCAACTGTAATTACTAATATAATCTCCGCTATCCCTATTCTAGGGAAGCCTGTGGTTATTTGAATTTGAGGGGGATTTAATGTGGGGTCCCACCTATCTTGTTAAGCATAGTTTTGCGTTTTTAAATAATTCAAGCCTTATTTATAGTAACCGCGATAATAGCTCGATCGCATTGCTAACAAAATAAATTGGTAAATAGATTGCTACTATAAAGTGATGATAATTGCATGGCTCCATAAATAAGGCCTTATCCTTTGCCCTTGATAGTTTTAATTTTTCTAGACATTCCAAACATTCTTAGTCTTCATCAGAAAGAAAGAGTGGCCCTTATTTATGATTAAACACCATAATTATTTTATAAAGTAAAAATAATATGTTTATCCATGCTTAAGATTATATCTTACACTTTGACCAAAAATTGAAAAAGATTTTTTGAAAAAACTGCACATATACATCGTTCTCACACTATATATCTTTGAAAATTAGTTATTCTTTCATTATCGGAAGATTTTTAGGTTTCCAATATGAATTCTATTAATCTTTCAGAATTAAACAGATTTCACAAGATGATTTTTGTTATAAGATTATTTATTATATTATTTTAATTTGTCTGCCTCATTCTTTGATTTCATATAATATTCCCATTATGTGAAAAACTTGAATTTAAACGGTCTAATTACAGGAGGGTATTATTGAATTCAAGATAGTTAAATTATTCACGTTAAAATGCGAGTTTAAGGAAAACGAGATAATAGACGAACAAATTTGAGATCAGTTTGTTCACAATTTTTCGTCAAGTTTAGGAAGAGGAAGGAATGGCATCTAGATCAATTGTTTAAATTATACCCTTTCTATTGAAATAAAGCAAAGTGTACACAAGCCTGTCCCCATACGAAAGCATATTTTTGATTCATACAAATATGTATTTTTTTTAATGATATGTAAATTTTATTTCTATAAACCTAGATGTCATCCATAAATATATCAGAGACGTCTATACAAAACGGTTTCCAGAGCTAGAATCATTGATACCTACCCCATTAGAGTACATATTGACCGTTAAGGTAAAATAACACATATCATACTGCCGATACCAACTAATATAATATTTTAAAAAATATTTCCTTTAATAAAATTTTAAATTTATGCATTTATTTTGAAAGATTCTTATAAAATTTACAATTCTTTATTTTTCTATATTTAAATCATTTTTATAAAAAAAATTAATTGTAAATAGGAATTGGGCAATGATTTGGAAAAATCAAAATCGAGCTCAGAACTGCAAAAAATATTGACACATGCCACTATCATGGTTGTCAGTGTAACTGCATCTACTACACAAGGGTTTTTACAAAATTAGCTATAGAACATTTTATAAATTTTAATTTTTGGTATTATTTGTAATTTTGGTTTTGTCAGTCATAATCATAATTACATATCCATTTTGTAATTTATTATATTTAAATTAATTATAATGTTCATGTTGAAACATTTGTGCTTATGTTAAGAATGACTTATTGTTATATTCAATTTTCTGATAGTTTCTTTATATTTAAAGAAAATTATATCCTATATATAATAATATATAAATGACATATTAGGACTTTACTAGAAGACAATGAATTCAAACAAGTTGATGATGCATGTGATTTGGTTTAAATTAATTTATTAAATTTTTTTAATTAATTTAGATTCTATACTAATATTAGGCTATAAATTTGAACGATGCTAAGATGAAAATTTTACATTTTGTTGAATCGCGTATGATGTTCATAGCTCCTAATCTGACTTTCATAGTTGGTTCAACTTGTGCCGCTAAATTAATGGGTAATTTACATAAAATTAAAAATGATTCTTATTTTTTCATAAACGAGTGTGTGAATTATGGGTTATATCGATTTGTATTATATTTTATAAATAATAATTTATTAATTGCTATTATTAGAGCAGAACATATACATCTTTTTTGGTGTTCGATCCGATTTTAGTTATATCAAACTGATCCCATTTTAATAATAAATTTATAAGAAGAATGTTTACAACAAACCAAAAATGTATCGATAAAATTTATATGCAGATAATTTAGATTGGATATTTTTACAATTTTTAAAAGTAAATAATTATGGCACATTTTTTTAGAAATGTTTCTCTGATCTAGTATTAATAACATTGTGTCATAAGGTTTTTAAAAATTGCTATTTTGATAATATAGAATTGGTCAAAATTCACTGAATGATCTTCCTGATCCTATATTTAATGATCCCCTACTAAATTGTTTATTTTTGTTTTAGACTTGTGATAGGATATATAAAACATCTTTTATATATTATAATTATCAGTATTATATATTTAATTTATAAATAAATCTTTATATTTTAAAGCACTTTTATAATTTTAAATTTGATCATTTGACTTTATAATATGATTGAAATTTTATTTAAATAAATATCGCAATTTTTCTATAATTTTTTGTTGTAAAAAACAATAATAGGAGGTGCCGGTGGTTTATCGAAACTTTCTAAGATCCCTTCCGCAAATTTCATGGTTATTGGGGCTCAAAAAAAGATATTGTCAGGATTTTCTAGCACCGCCTTAAACCCTCACCTGGGTTACATATTCATGAGTCCTATCGTACAGTCTGCGCCACCTGTAATCTATTTTTTTAAACTTTTTTTTTGTTTATTCTGCATCCAAAACAGCAAAAAATTTAATTCAAATACTTTAATAAGTCTTCTTTAATAGAAAATTAAAAATACGTGTAAAAACCTTGTTTTGGATGCATAATAAAAGAAGAAAAATAAAATTATAGTTTGACATGCCTGTCCTAAAAGCTCAGCCCACAAAAAGATTTTTGGGCCAAACAACTTGTACAAAATATTTTTATGGGCCAGGCCTAATGTTTTAAATTTTTAAAATCTAAATTATGCGAATTTGTCTTTTTTTCATTCATAAAAAATTCTCTGGCTGGGCTGGGCAACTTATACAAAATCTTACTCATACCGGCATCTACTTTACATACCTAAGCAATCATAAGATTTTTTTTGATTACTTCTGCAATAATTTATTTACCCAGTTATATGCTTTTTATTTATTTGCACTTATTCATATTATAAATTAAATAATGATTATAATGGTACAAAAAAATTTAAAAACTACAATATTTCTCCGTCTATCAAACTATTTTATATAAAAATCTTGAAATTTAAAGTGGTAAAAAATACAGCCCATGCACCTTATTCTGGCAATATTTCTATATCTGGTCATGCACCCTATATTTTCATTGAAATCGGGCCAATGAGCTATTTGGTATTGAAGCAGTATTTCCTATTTTTTTGCCTTATCTAAAACTTATTTTTGTTTTCTAACTATAAATATTATTTATATGAGCTTATGTGTTAAGCTTTGATATTTTAAATTAAATACCATGATAAATTTCATAATCACGAATAATCATGATAAATTGTTTATTAGACCCAATATAATTTATTTACAATATAAAAGAGTTGAAATTGATAGAATCCAATTTCGCTTGCCTTCTTGCCTAAGCTTTTGAAGGCTTATTTGAATTTTATAAACTTGTCCAATGTAACAAGAGCTATCTGCAAACTGCTGATATTTGAATTGATATTTTTATTAGATGGGTATACATCAATCTGGAGGTGATGAAAGATTATAAGGTTATGGGAATCGAGCCAATAAATGGGAAAATCCATGTCAGATCGATCACGATTCCCCGACCCTTTTTAATTTTTACTTAATTTTATATACAAACTAAATTTCATGTAGCTTTTATTTGGCAAAATTTTTGATTCATAGCTCATAGACATATACAGGATTTTTCTATAGAGGGGAAACACTATTAGGCGATGTTTTCCGCCGTGAATTTTATTGGAAGTCTTAGGTTGACCTATTATAGGTCTTTGGCTATCTTATATTTTTTTAAAAATAATTTTTGGTTTTCACTTATTTTTTCTAAAATTAGGAATTATAGTCGTTATTTTAAAAAGTTATTAACTTTATTATTATTATATTTCATTCTTCCTTATAGTGATATATTGTATGCATTCTTTGTGGAGAGGGTGGTGATGGGGAGAGAGACTAATCTCCCCCTCCCCTTGGCTACGCACCTTTCATAGCTCTTATACTTTTGGAGATATCTGGAAGTGATATACCATCATTTCCACACACATCTTCATTTTGGAGGGCTATTTATTTGTTTTTTTTATTTAAAGGGAATCCTACTATAAAAAATGTCTTCATGATTTTCATGCAATAATATTGTAGCTTTTGAATGCAATTGATTTTTGAGTCAATTCAATATAAATTAAAAACTCACTCGAAAAAATAAGATTATTGGAGCAGTTAAATAAAAAAAAATCGATAATTTAACGCAATATTTTTGATTCAAATATCGAAATATTATTTACAAATTTAAACATATTTATTTTAGGATCTCAGGAGAAAATTATGCAGGTTGGTCGGAAATAAATGCGCTTTAGCTTCCAGGGTAGACAGTTTTCACCAAAATAGAAACGGACTTATAGGTCAGCAATACGTAGACTTGATCAAACGTTATTTAGACAAATTACAAGAACCGCCTGCGGTAAAACAAATAAAACCATTACCAGCGCCCACCGAGGGCCCTAAGAAAAGAAGAGGAGGTCGAAAGTAATTATTTCCTTTATTTTAACAAATCAGGCTTGGATGTGTCAATTTTTTTATTGTCCAAACAGCCCCAGATCTCTTATAAATCAAAAGTGAAAGAATTTTTTGTAAACTACTACTTTGTGTAAAAAGATTAAGGTTTTTAAAAGTGTGGTCCATATGATTATTTTAAATTACTTTTAATGTACAGGTACCGAAAAATGAAGGAAAGGTTCGGGTTGACGGAAATGAGAAAGCAAGCTAATCGAATGACGTTCGCCCATATCGAAGACGACGCTTATCAAGAGGATCTAGGATTTTCTCTCGGAAATTTGGCTAGCCAGAGCACGGGAAAAATAAGGGCCGCCCAAGTATAATCCCAATCATTCAATCATAAACTGATCTCTAAAACTCATGCGCATTTAGTTTATAATCATATGCTTAATACCATTAGCCAATCAGTCGAAAATAATCGTTCAATGTATAAAATATAATTTTGAACAACTATGGTGTTATTTGGTATTTTTTGAAAATACTTTATATTTAATTATTAAAATTTCTCTCAAGTAAAAAAATATTTCAGCATGAATCATTTGCAAATCTTTTATTAATTTCGTTTCATAGAATATATATTTTTTTATTAGGTCGACAATAAAACGCAAGTCAAAATATCGAAGACCCTTCAAAAACACATTCATAAACAAAATGCCCATTGGAAATCGGGAGCGTCTCAGACCCCCTCACTATCGGGTGGTAGAACTACTATTCGACATGGTTCATCCGTTAAGACTAATTCAACTGTGTGTGGTACGGCTTCTAGTATAGCTTTCACTCCTTTGCAAGTAATCAATTTTTTATTCAAATAAAATAAACAACTTGAAAAAGGTTTATTATAATCTACAATTTCAATGTTTTTTAGAATTATAACTCTTTTTTTCAGGGGTGAAGAATTAAAAGGTTTATGACTCAGCTGCCTAAATTGGTTAAAATAAAAGGTTATCGAAATCCCCGGTTTTTAATATAAACTTAACTATCTATTTTGGTGAAATTAAACTAATAAATTAGGACAGCGCTGGGCTTCACTTCTTATGCCGCATCCTATTCTAGAGACTTAATTTTTATTCTGAATTCTATCTAAAAAAGCTACTTAGACACCATTTAGTTTTTTTTTAAAATATAGATTTCGACATAAGTTGATAGCTTTAAAGTACGCCAAATATGCTTATTTCCATTTTTTAAATCAAAAAATCGGAACAGCTATTTAAAATTTTTAAAAGGAAAAAACCCAATCATGGCATAGTTATAGCAATTTAAATATTAATGAATCTTTTAACAATTTAATATATTTTTAAATAAATATATATATAAAACATTTATTATGTTTACTCATTTTTTTCTTAATAAAAGGGACTTGAAATAGTTAACCCACTCGCAGCTGAAAAGATGATGGATGATTCATCCGCCAAATACTTTTCTCAGAAGAGTGGATTTATTAATTTAAATAAAAAGTCATGAAATGATTTGAAAAAATTAACGTCGAACATGATTTATTTATCGTTTTTATCATTTTATTTATACCAATTTATTTGTATATTCTTTAAAAAAATGTATAATCTTTATAAAATTTTTATAAAAAATATTCCTATATACAAAAAGATTTTATAATTAAAATAAAAGAATATATAATAGTTTTAAAAATTTATAGAATAGTTTATATTATCCATCCTATTTTAATATTATTTTTGATAACTTCTTCTTTTATAAACTGTATGAGAGGTCGGAAATACTCTAATAATGGCTGAATATCATAATCTGGTTTCCCGGTCAGGGCTAATAGCATTTGACGCCAAGATATTTGATTGCCTAGTCGCATTAAATTCCTATATAGTATGTTGTATTAATGATAAATCAGCTTAAAATAGTATTTAAAAGTAGGGTTGTGCCGATCCACATATTTTTCACCGATTCTATCCGATATAAGTTTAAAGCCGATACCGATCCGATATTTATATTGATTTTTCACCACCCTCTTTTGAACCAAATTTGTTATGCAAAATATCGAATTATATATATAATTTAATTTTTTTATTTCTACAATAATTAAAAAAAGTTTACGGATTAAATAATAAAATAGGCGTTATTATTTAAAATAAATAATACTTTGGGTGTTCCTTTCAATTTTTATAAAAATAAATTTAAAATACTATAAATCTATTTGAAAAAATAAATAAAATTTAAGGGATGTTATGCATTTGCATTGTTTAAAAAAAAATTATCTAGAAAATATTATTAATTTAAAATAAATTTACATAAAATAACAAAAAAAAGAAAAGTAAAAAGATCGGATCGGTTTTTTACAGATTTGGTAAACAAAATGGGGGTTTTTTAAAACATAAGAATTATAATATTTAAAAATAATATTGAAATACTTTAATAATTATTAATAATATAACAGTTTTAAATTGGGAATATAGTGTCATAACTTGATATCAAGGATAGGAAGAAGAGTCGCTTTAAAATGAAATGGAAACCCACCATAAACAAAAATATATATATATTTAAAAAGTATATTATATTACTAACACTCGAAAAATTATTTTAAATGAGTTAATTGCTTTAAGATGACATTTAACTAAGAATGAGGATGTTTATTAATTATTATTAAATTAGAATACTTGTTTATTACCATAGAACTTTTCCAGCGACTTTTGATCCATGAAGGTTACACCTGTGTAATGGTATATTTGCATTTTCTCCGTTCGCCTTTTCGCATAACACTTTGAATAATTGAAACTGTAAAACGGTGGCTTGTAGATATTCCAAAAAATTTTGATTTTTTATGATGTGAAACTTGAAAGCCGGATCGAAATTATTTTCGTTTCTTTTGATAGGTGGAGAGAGCCCTTGATATTTACCTACTATTTCCCACCATTTGCTATTGTAATTCTCTGGTTTTATATTTCCAATCAAGGTGTTATATCGCCAATCTTCGAGCGAATATGCGAACATAAATAAGGGGATCTTCCGCAACGCTTGACTAAATAGAAACTCCATTTCTGTAATATATATTTTGATAATGCATAAGTTTTAAACACATTAATTTACCTTGTTCGGGATTAACTGTGATATCCCAGCCATAAAAATTGAGACCCCACGGTGACAACGCGGATAAGGCTATAGTATCACCAATCGATTCGTGGAAGGCAAGGTTAGGTGACATTCTGTATAGTATGGATAAATTTTGGTATGCCATATAGTAATAAATGTGTCCAAGTTCGTGATATAAATTCATCCACGAGGCGTAATTGGTTTTTTGGCAAAACATTATCCTGCAAAAAAAAATAGTCATTAATGATCATGGTGTATAATATATTTTTAGAGGGCAGCAGGCTTGGGTCTTATAATTAATTTTTTTGAAACCCAGCCTCAACTGAAAAATATAAAATTAGGACAGGGCCATATATTTTTCTCACCTAAAATCATCCCCTTTGAACATATTCCAAGCTGAGGGGTAACAGGTGGTCAGATTATTATTGGATGGCTTTATTATAATTGAATTATCCCAAAATTCTTGAGATAGTTTTGGAAATGCGAGTGACTTGAAATATTTCTCCGACAAATTAACTAGATTTTTAAGGGACAGATTTTGGGTCTTTAAGACATTGTTTATAATTTCTTTGAATGGATTCGATGTTATAGGAAATATTTTGCTGGATATACTCTCCCAATTTTGACCCCAAGCATTTTCTATTTATACGTATATAATAGCGATCATAAATTGTACATATATAATTATATTACCTGTGAGCTGAGTAGGAATTAGTCCATTAATAAAATTCTCGTCATTTAAATGGTAATAATTCTTGAGTTTATAACGCGCGTAACCATGGATCAATTGATAAAATGGGGTTATTTTTGCCATTGAATCATTTATATAACTCGAAGCGAATGGAGGTATGTTTTCTAAACAGATTTTGAGGTTATAGCAATATTTATATAATATAATTTGGTATTAAATTTTTAATCTAAAAATAAAAGATGCTTTCTATTTAGGCTTTTAAAAAGTACTACGACTTATCAAAAAAAAACACCTTGGCTCATATAAAATATTTTAGGTTATGTTGCTGTTTAAATGATAAAAATACTGTTTTAAATTAAGGGTTAGCACGAAATAAAATAATAAGGAATGGGTGGAATGAATAATCCAACCTTGAATAACACTTATTCTTTAGAAAAATTTATACAAAAAATAATTTCATTATTTTATAGGTCTCCCCAAAAACAAGCTAACTCCTATGAAGTTAATATTCATAATTTTTTTATGATTGAATAATTTAAATATTCGCATTAATTAGTAGAATAACTAAGAATTAGAAATGTAAAAAAATAAATAAACTACATTTCCGGCTCGGTTCGGATGCTTAAAACTCAAAGGGTTAATGTTTTCGAAAATTATTTTAATCGGGTTTTGAAATTCTTGTAATTATTTATATCAAATTTTTTTTTAAATAAAAATATAGAAAAACAGGTTATACTTGGATATAATATTTGATAAAATGAGTGTGCAAAGACTAAAAAATAATTTATAAGAAAGTCATTTCATTAGAATTGAAGCCTTTGAACCTATTATTGATCATAAAATTGGGTTCAATTTGATTTGATTGGATTAATTAATTTTTTATTTGCAATATAAAATTAAGATTAGAAAAAGTAATATCATTAAAATTTAAATAACTATCTTGTTTAAAAAACAAAATTCAATCATATAAATAGAAAAATAGATAAATGAAGTGAATAATGTGTTTATAATACCATTATAAAAATAATATAAATTACCAGGAAAACTATTATTGATCAAATATATGGTCTTAAATTACAATTTATATAAAATTATAACGGTATTAAACCAGTTCTGAAAAATTACTTAGTTTTTGTTTGTTTCTTTTAGTGATTAGGTATAAAGATTCGGTTACGGTTCAGAAAATTATAAAGGTTCGGTTGACTCGGGGTCCCTGTTTTATATTAAAACTATCGCTGGATATTTATAAATTTAAGTTTAAAAAAATTTTCCGAACGTTTACTTTCATCATGTGATAAGCAGCATTTTCTGTAAGAATTTGCCATTTTGGTATAATATTTTTTTAATTCAGCATCTGGACCGATTCTATGTTGTCTCCAACTACAAGTTAGCCGTTCAAATTGGGAAATATAATATGGACGAATGTACGAAACGTTATTTGAACATTTATATTTTTTTCTCATAAACCGTATTTTTGAGTAGGATTTTAGGAGATTATTCTTTGCTTCTTGATAATCCCTATAAGAGTGTTAATTTTTTATAGATAAATTTCAAATTAATAAGGAAATTATTAGTAATAATTACAGTATAGTTCGCATTCTTTATATTCGAGTTATTTATGCAATCATGTGCATAATATAATATTTAAGGGAAACCGGGGATAAGTGGCCATAGGGGTTGTCTGGTCACCCCCTCTAAATTCTTGCCTATTGAATTATTTCATTTGAAAACTTTTTTAAATATGTATATTTAAAAGTTTTAGGCATCTATTCCAAAGTAATAGTAACTTACAAAAAATAATAGAACTTAAATATTTAAATAAAAGCAGTTGACTAAGGTCAAGAATTTTTAAACCAAAATTCCGAAACAAAAAATATCGATTTAGTTATTTACATTTTGAACGTGTACTTATATATTTAATATTAAAATTTATGGAAATGTTATTTTATTAATTATTTTTCAATGAAAGTATCTGATTTGTTAAAACAAATATATAGTTTTTTAAGGTAAAACTCGGCGAGCCACAAACCGCCGCCGAGAGCTTTAAAGTGAAATGCAGTCGATAATTTTTCCATCACCGCACAGGTCTTAGCTCTATACCCTAATTTTTCGATAAGAAAGATGATCTCAACATCCATACATTTTTTCGATAATATAGCTTGAATTTGAACAAAAACATAAACAAAATAACTGGCTATTTTATCGAATAAAAAAAGTCTAAAAAACAATTTTTATGATAAATTATAAAAATAATTATAATACATTTGCAAGAAAATGTAATAGTTTCTTTTATTGCAAATTTTTTTTTCTTGAAAAGTCATTCAACTAAAAACATTTGGAGAATTGGATAATTTGGTATAAGCAAAAAATAAAAAATAAAGTACCGGTCATTGGGGATATTTGGGATGGGTGCATAGATAATATCTTTATATTTCTATGCCAATCGTGCAATATTTCAAAAACCAACTGCTTACTAAGAGTTGTAAACAATTTTGCCATAAATTAAAAAATTATAGGGACTGACTTTAGTGATGCGACATTTTGAAATGAAGGATTATATGGAATCATAGATATCAATTTCAAGGCTTTAGGATCTATTGATTTGTAGTGATCCTTTTCATAATTGTAAAACTTTATCTTCCAATTATTATCGAATAACTTTTTGTGGGTCGAAGCGTTTCGTAGTTTTTCTTCATTTTCTCTATTTATATGGATAGTATAATCCCAGCTAATTGCAGATATCATCTGTTTTTGTTTTAACGCCTCGGTATTGTATCTGTTTAACAATTCTAATAAATATTTTTAAAAAATGAAGAAAATATCAGATACTAGTTTTTTTTAAATATATATATTAGGAAGACTTAAACTAAAATTGGAACACCTAAGAATAAAATGATATATTAAAGTTACAAGATTAATAGAGGAAAAATGTTTAGTGTTTGAATAAGCCGTGTGTGAAATAAGATGTTATTAAAGCTTACTATCAAATTTCGAAAAAATCGAAAATATTAATTTTACTGTATATAAAGGAATCAACGTTTCCGAGGCATCTGTGCAATGAAAAGATAATTACTAAGGTATAATACAAATGTTTATATGTGGTCATGATTGAGATAATTTATAAATATCAGTTAAAAGTTGTGAGACATAGTTGAGCCAAATTTAAAAATGATGGAAAGGAATTATACTGTTAAAAAAATTTTCTTGAACTTATAATATATTAAAAAATGAAACTTATAGTAATATTAGTTTTATTTAAAACGCAAAGGCCAATACCTTCAATTATCTATTTGTTATAATATTATTTTAAAATACCGCTGTGGGGGTTAAAATTCAAATTTTTAATATATTTTCTATGATGATGCGGACAATCATCATATTAAAATATTTTATTGATGAATCGATAAACTATTTTATTCATCGTAAAATATTCCAAGTGTTTTTTTTAATTATAAATTTTTATATCGTTAGTCGTAGCGGCACCTAATTTTTCACTTTTCACCCTGATTTAATTTTAAATTTGTAGAATCAAAGTAAAACTATATCTTACTACTTGAAATATAGATTTATAATATGAGTTCCGATTTTAGCTTATTATTTTCTTTCATAGACTAGCAGGCACAGAAATAATTTTGTGATCCGGGCTTGGCACTCGGGCTAGGCCTAAAAAATATTATTTTTTCTTAAACAAGCCGGGCTGAATTTTATAAAATGAATTTAAATTATATCGAATTATCAATAGTTAAAAATCATAATGGATCATTTCACATTTTCAATACCTTCAATTTAGAAAATAGAGTTAAAATTATTTCAAATGACGAAATTTTAAAAATCTAGGCTCGAAAATGGAAAAAATTTAAAAACCCGGGCCTGGTTTAAAAGTTAGTCCTCTACTTTAAAAAAGAATTTATTTTGACATTTATAATACGTTAGAATTTTTTTTATTCGATTAGGGTGGCATTTGATATCCTTTGCTGCCAAACCGTAAACATTAAAAATATATATAATAAATACTCTGAATTTATAATAAATGAGACCATAAGCAGAGCTTCGAACTAGTGATCTGCATCGGGCCTAATTTTTCAAGCCCGGCCCGGCCCAAAATTTTTTTTATAAAGTTTTGCCCGGCCTGGCCCGAACCCGAATTTTTTTTTAAAAAATTTTGCAGGCCCGGCCCGAATTTATTTAAATATAGAAATTAATTCTTATAATTACTCAAAACAAACGATATATGTTATATGGCGTCTACTTTCTATAAATAAAATCACATATCTTTATTTTAAATAAAAAATTCAACATAAAATTGATAAATCTAGATATATTTTAAAAAAAAATTAAGGCTCGACCCGAATTGTTTTAAAAAATATTAGGACTTTTGCAGATCTTTACTTCGAACCGTTAAATATAGCAGTTCGGTTTTTAGTTAAAAATTTTATGACGGTTTTGTTCCATTTAGGTTTCTTTTGAAGGAATTTATATAGGTTCGGTTTAGTATTTATTACGGTTCTTTTAGGTTTGTTCCGGTTTTTATAAATTTTATTTTTTAAAAATAAATAATCATAAACCATATATTGGAGAAAAATCTTTTTAATATATATTTTTATAATTCCTTATTTAATTTATAACCATGAAGATTATTTCTTATTTAATTAACTAATGATTTGCCTGACCTCTATTAAATTGAGTATATAAAGTAAAAACAATAAACTTGGTAATAATTGATATGAAGATAATGGCGTTATTGTAAGAAAATTTTAATTTAAAAAGAAATCACGAATTTAAATTGCCCCCAAGGAAAATTAAAATTTAGGTTAATAATTTTAAAATAAATATTTTTAAAAACCGTTATGAACCGGTTTAAAATAATATTTATAACAGTTCAGTTTCTTTTTATATTTTCTTTATAACAATTCAGAATATTATATAGTTCAGGTTTCGCGGTTCAGTTCGAAGCTTTGACCTAGGTGATGGTGAGAGAAGAGTAGAGGAGACATTTTCGTGAATTTTCTTTGCTGCAAATTTTATTGAGTATTTTTAGGTTTTTCCTTGAAGACCTTTAATCGGATTACATTTTTTCTAAAATAAAATTTTGGTTTTTCATTTAAAAATTTCTATTTTTAGTCATTATTTTAAAAAATTATTAAATTTTTTACTTATTTTTTTAAATATAAAATTTATCATGACATTTCATTAATTTCGGGGAACGGAGGAGGCAGGAATATTTAGAGATTTTTTATTAGCTATCATATTTTCGAAGATTAACAAATTTGCGTGGGAGTTCCCGCTTCCCCTCACCTTGTTTATGCCATTTATGATATTATGTATTATATTAAATGATTAATATTAGTAATTATTCACATTTATTTTTTTAAAAAAATGCTTTTCTGCTAAAAATTTTATTCATAATTTAAAAAGTTATTAACTTTTTTTCTTTCAAATTCTTTTTTATAATGATATATTGTATCCAATTGTAAATGAGAGGGGGTGAGAATTTTTATTAGCTTAAAATAATATTTACGAGAACAGGCTAATTTCCAAATGGGGGTGGGGGAATCCCCACTAATTATGCCTATGAATCAGAAACCTTTTAACAGTTATTATAAGGGATGTTCCGATATAAAATGGCGCTTTTAACAAAATTTTAAAAAAGTTATATCTAAAAAACATTTTTTTTCGCATTCTGTTTAAAAAAGTGTTCATTAATCTCTTCAGAATCTGTTTTTAGTGATGCTAGTGATATTAACAGTCCCCATCACCGCAGACCAATCTCTGATAAATTGGAAATTTTAATATTTCTCAAAAGAAATCTTCGATATATTCATTTTAAATATTAATTTCAAATTTCATAATATATTTGTTTATTACTAATTATGTAAATAGATTAATGTTAATACTTATTATATAAATAATAGCAATTTAATTGAATATAAACTATAACTGATCATTATAATATATTTAAATGACATATGTTATGGTATAGTTATAGATGTTGTACTAATAAAAAGTATATTAAAAATTAAAACCAGTATCTTTTACAAAATTAGATATGATATCGGATCTGTTATCGGCCGATATCAATTTAATATCTGGAATATCGGATCGGCCTCCAAAAGGTGGTATCGGTACACCCCTAGTTATTATAAACAATAGATAGAAGCATTACATGAATTTGATTTGCTTATTATTTTCTGACACAAAGTTATATCTTTAGTAACGGCGTTCCATTCTGTGGTTAGATGTTACTTTTTAAAAGAATTAACGAGTTAAGCATTTTATGCAGGCCTGTAACCAGGAAACTTCAGTTGAGAGAAGGGGGGGGAGGTAGGGCAAAGTTTATTTGAGGGCTAATATTTTTATAAACTATTAGTTAAATTTTTAAGCTAAGTTTGGGGGCTAAAATACATTTTTTTGGAGGAGGAGAGCACGCACGCCCTCTTCCAATGAAAGAGGGGGGGGGCTGAACAAATTCAAAATCGGAAATATACATGTTTGTTAAACTTTATTGGTAATTAACAAATGCGCTATTTTTCTATCAATTAAAGGTTTTTTAAAAGTTTGTAAAGCTTAAGATATTATTTACTTAAACTTTTAAAATTCATGAATATTTTGGACGCAGCGCCTAATTAAATAATTTTAGCCGAGTTTTCCGATCAAACATCCAAGTTTTCTTTCTATTCGTAATTTTATTCTTAAACAATTACAAACTCATTTTTTTCAGATTCACACAAGGTTATACTAATCTTTTATTTATTATTCAATTATATAATAAAAAAACGAGAAACACGTATATTATAAAAGCCAATTGGCCAGAACATGAGGTAGATTTGATATATAGTACTAACTATTCTCAACAATAATTTAATTTGCTTTTTAGTCAACCTTATAATAAACACGAAATTACTGACAGAATCTAACAAATTTGGTTTACTTAAAAGTGTTTTTATTTAATATGGTGCAGGTTATATCAATGATGGTTACATGAACGGGTGATCAAAGTTGTTGCCTCCATAAATAATAAATTAAATGGAGTGAGTAAAAAAACGGGCGGGTTTTCTCGATAAACCGAAGCATGGCGGCTCGGTCTTCGGTTTGGTTATATATGGACCAACAATTATATATTATACCTTAAAACCATATAAAAGATAGTAAAATATAAGGAGGAAAAAATATATATTATAATTGAGTTCCCAAAAAGGAACTATAATTCAATATAAAAAAATCGATTTTGATCTCTTGTCTAAGATATAAAAATTCCTTTGGATCATTTGTGAGATCCCGTATTTTTAACTTATTTTTAAAATACGAAAATAATAGGTGAACTAGTTAATATGAATATGGGAGTGAATAAATAATTTGTTAATGTTTATGGATTCTGTTAAAGTAAGTGTTTAAAGCAATTTCAGTTCCTTATGAACAATTATTTTCCGAAACAGGTGACGTAGTAATAAAGGGGGGGGGATGTATAACCAATCCAAAAAATTGAATATCTAACGAAGAATTTTTTTAATCTAATCTTAAATAAGTTAATCTTATTATTCTATAATATATAATTTCTTTGTTACGTTGTTAATTATCATATTCGTTATTATGTTTATATTCGCAAATAAATAAGTTCGATTTTACATTATATAAGTATTTAAAACCTATATAAAAATCGTTCCAGACCAAAGTCCTGTTCAATGGCTATTTGATCTTTACATTGTGTTTTAAGGTTTAGTTGAGTCTTAAATCGGTTCCACACTGAACCACCATGACCTTTGCCAGTAGGCTTTAAAGCAAGTAGTGATAATCTTCATTGGGGGTAAATAATAGAGAACTGTGACGGATCATGATAGATGGGTGGGTACAATTAAAAATTCAAACAATGGGAAGAGGGTAAAAAAATTAAAGGGGTGGGTTTGTTTTAAATATTTTATGAATAGCATAAGCAGAGTAATTTTTATTAAATATTTTAAAATATTCCAAATTTGATAAATTTAATTGCTAAAAATATAATAAAATAAAGAAACCAAATCAATCGATCATATTATTTTAAAACAACGGGCGGTAGAGCGTTTAAACATTTTTTAAGCAGAAGATAAATTATTTTAAAATTAGATTATAGGAGAGTTGACCTTTTTTAAAAAACAGCGTATTTCAGACCTATAGTAGAAGTTAGGTTTCAATGTAAAGCTTTCCAAAATATCGTTAAAAGGAAGTATATAGTTAACTTCCGGTTTTATATATATTTCTAATAAAATTTAGTTTTTTCTTAAATTAAACAATTTTTTTCGTTATTCGATATGAATATAAAACAGTAGATGCTATGAAAAACTAAATAATTAATAAGAATATCATATTATTCATTTCCTGGAAACCAGTGTTGAAGTTAGATCAAATAAAAATTCAGAGATGACAATTTGATTCAATCTTTTAAAATATTTATTATTTATTGTATTTGTTTAAAAAATATAATTTATATTGATTTATTTATAAAAAAAATAATTTTTTTCTAATTTCCATGCGGTATTGTATAATTGTAATTAATGCTATGTAGAATATAAATAGAATCATTTTATACTTACAAATATTTTTTTTAACTAATATCATAGTCAATCATATTTTTAAATTTATCTATCCACGGCTTAAATTCTGAAGAAGATTCCATACTTTCAAAAATAATTTGAAAAAGGTCTTTATTGATAGTATTCTGAATGGTAAATTTAACGGGGGAAAATAAATTATTCAAATAAATATTTGATCGCTAGAATATTGACCTAAAGGCGATTTCTAAAAAATTCTGGTTATAAATAGAGACGCACCAATACCACATTTTTTTAAATCGTAACCCCAAATACTTGCCACAAAAGTTTGAATTTATCTTGAAATTTTTTATGCACGAAAAATTAGTTAAATTTGATCAAAAATCTCTACTCTTCAAAATAAAATTTAAATTTCCCAATTCAAACATACTTAGGTTGGATCTTGTCCAAAATATTTAAACGTTTTGCCAAATGAGATATGTAACAATATTTGTTTTTAAATTTAATTCCTTAGTTAACTTTTAATAAAAATTATAAAAATTTCAGCATTACCTGTAAGGATATTTTTTTCTGAATGAACAAATTCTTTTCCATTTGATGGATTTAGATAGGTGTCAGTCAAATGGATAATCAAAATAAATTTTTTTATTAAATGATCAATGAGAAAAGAATTAATAAATAAATAACTATCTGAAAAAATAATCTAGTAGGTATGTCCATATGTAATTTTATAGAAGAACTATTTAAAAATTAAGTTTCCATTGTTATCAATATTATATTGTTAACTTTATATTGGCTATACAATTTAATTTATTTTATAAATATTTCTGTTTTATGTAAATAGAATAGTTCGGTTCAGTGTTCCCTAAAAAAATAATATTTATTTGTTTTCAACTTTTAAAAACTGGTTTCAAATTTCACATACAAGAGTATTAGAAGTATATTTTAAAAAGAGAATATTTATTAAAATTTTATCCCTATTCTCTAAAAAAATAGAGCTGTATATAATTTAAATATTCTCAAGATTATCGGTTGTCAAATTACATCTATAATATATTTTAAGGCTAAGAACACATATATGTGTTATAGTGGACATGCCCGGCCCCCTACTTTTTTAAAAATTTCTGACGGAGACGTGCCAAATTTTTTTTTAAATTGGTACCTTAGCATAATTTGGTATCAGCTAGTTACTACCGAGAAAGTTATCGGACAGATACCGAGTATTAGTGCATCTCTTGTTTTAACTCATAATTAGTATTAGATTTTAATTTTCAAATATTATCTCAAAATAGAAAAACATGGATTCGCAAAAAGGGGTTCAAAATTCAAGAATCTATATATATAATATCGTCGGCCAAGGATTATAGTATTTCATATACATTTTTTCCAACTTGTTTTACCTTTTTAAAAATTTACCTGTTGTATTTTCTTTATAGATAGACATTATAAAATAATTTTAAATTTATTTAGTATATGCCTAGAGCTACAGGTAGGCAAATTATTATAGATCTTAATCTAACTAATATAAATTTGCTAGAAATATTTTCATACTATAAAAAAATGTGTGATGGAGTAATATTTTAAATTTAACTATTAAAACAAGAAAAAAATTTTTTAACAAAAAATCAGAATATTTGTAAAATATAATGTATTATTTAAGATTTTAAGAAATTTTATCAAGCCCTCTATATAAATCGTACGACTTATTTTAAGAATATTGATTATTTTAAGGATTATGGAACATTTATAATAATTATTATATTTAAAAATTGGACATTGAATAATATAATTATGTAAACAAAAATAATTCTAAACATTTTTTTTATCAACTTTTTATTTCTGATATAGAACAATTTAACCCTAAAGAAATAGAAAATTTCACTAAAAAAAATGGATATGGAATACTATAATCCTCAAACGCTATATAAAAAAATATATTATATGTTAAAATTTTATAAATATATTTTATTACTTTATCACCGAATGACTTAGAGGAAAGGCTAAGTATCAGTCCGTGTAATTCAGTTTTCGAATCTATTTTGAAAATAGTAAGAAAACAAATTTGAATTAGAGGTCTGCCTTGGGCGGGGTTTCGGCCCGCCCGCCCACGCTCTATTAAGTGGGCGGGCGGATGGGGGGGGGGGGGGGTAAAAAATTTGAGAGGCGGGCTGGGCGGGTTAAGAAATTTAAACAATGGGCGGGCGGGTTAAGGAAATTTAAAATTTTTGTTCAAAAACAAACTAAAAAAAATAATTGTTTAAATGATCTATAACAATATTTCTTTTTTTATTGCACCAATCGTTTTTTTTAAGTGAAGAACATTTACCTAACTATATTATGTAATAAACACAATAAAAAATTTTTAGTGCTTCTTACGAATGCGGATTTAGCATTGATGGAAGATTTTTAGAACAAAGAAGAACGTGTTTGAATCCAGAAAATGTCGATTCATTATTATTTTTGCATTATAATTACATATAATATTAATTTTACATTTATATTTTTTCATAAATATTCAATTTGATCAAATAAATTGTCCATAATTTACATTGATTATTTTATACTTATATTAATTTCCTAAATTAAACTTTTGTAGAGGTGTAATGCTGAAATATTTTTATTAGATGCTTAAAAAAATGAAAGAATGACCATAATTAAATTTTATAAGCGGGCTTGGGTTAAAAATTTTTTATAAATAATGGGCGGGTAAGGAATTTTAGACAAATGGGCGGAGCGGCGGGTATATATTTTTTGAAAACTTTGGGCGGGCTGGGGGGCGGGTTAAATTTTTTTTAAACATTAAATGGGCCGGCTTTTGGTCCAAAAATCCGCCCAATGCAGACCTCTAATTTGAATTGCCAGGGTTATTAAACAAAAGATTATTTTATCCCTCAAGATTCCTAACAAACAAATAATAAATTACATATATTCTGCAAATCTTATAAATAGCTTACAAAGTTTTTTTAAAAACGATATACTTGTCTTAATGATGTGCTTAACCATAGTTCTGAACCAAAATAAAAATTCAGATTGCGACTTGAGTTGATACGATGTAGTAACTTGATTTTGCAGAAACCTCGATAAATGCTTATTCTCGGTGTCTTTTAAGCATATTTTGACAACGGAGGTATCAGATTGTAATATTGACGCGATGTTAAAATTGTCTTGATTTGAAGTGCTATTTATATATATATATGTGTAAATCAATAATTTTTTAATAAAATATATTACCTGCCAAAATAAAATCGCCTATCTCTTAACCCAAGGCAGACAAAATGTATAATAACCAATGATTATATATTTTTTTAATATTCATAATTACATCTAAAATCATTCTTTTATTATTTAAATAATTGATGTTAAAAGTTATAATATTGGTAAAAAAATAATATTAAATATTGGAATTCATATTTTAACCATTGGAGAAAAAAGGAGAAAGCAAAAAATTTAATTTAAAATATAAAAATGACGAGGGGATAAAAACTTGAGACCAAACTTTTGATATTTCTTCAGGCAATAAAGGGAATTCATTGGGTCATCATCATCTTTTACCGAGTTCATATACATGTTTGTAAAATATTTTTCCAAGATATCATCCTTCATATCAATCAATAGCCTATATATAAAGTATTTTAATAAGATAAATAATGTCAGTTAGAATATAAAGTTTATACTATATTTGCATTATTTATAACAAATCATAGTTAGTTGATAAATAAGCCTGAAAATCCTTCGATCTTATGAAAAAATGGATATAAGAAACCGTTCTAATCTAAAACCAACGTGCTGATATTGATTTTATATTGACATATAATAGAAGGTATTTTTTTGGCATTCTTCTATGATATTGACTTAATTAAGGTAATTGTTTATATTTCAATATTAATTTTTAATGAAACAACCTTAATTTTCCATCCCTAAGCTTATTTATCGCACTTCTAAAATACACAAAAAAAAATTATCATAAAAAAAGATTTGCTCACCAACTCCGTAAATTATCGTCATAAGTGTAGGTGTGATCATTGCAAAAATGTAAGATTGGATTTCCATGGGAAGTTATATCGATGTCATCAAGTTGATCAATCTCTGTTTACAAAATCAAGACAAGTACAGATAAATTAAAAATAAGCCGTTTGCACATTATTATATTAATTTTTTTTTTAAAAATAGTCAAAATATTTTGAAGAACAATAATTATCCATACATTTCGAGCTGAACCCACTCTGGCAGATTTCGCACCACACTAGTTGGGAAAAATTAATCTTAAATTTTTTTGGATAGTTATACTAAAACAGATCTTAGAGTTCTTATAGTTATCGTTTTAATTTTATTAAAAAATTATATTCTTTACCGGTTTGTATGGGTGTGGCCGTGATATCATTGATTATGCATTTGACAGAATCGAAATAAGAATTTGATGTTTCCCTAGATGATGTGTCAATAAAAACCAAAAATATATTATTTTTTAAAAAGAAAATGAAATGTATGTTTAATTGAGCAAATTCCCCAGGGGTGGAAAAAACATTTATAACTAAGCAGGTTCTTTTTAAAAGAGTAATATTCTTATTTTTCTATTTAAAAGACACAACACATAATAAATAAAAAAAAATAGATAAATTTTTATAATAAAATTGAAAGAAAATAAATAAAATAAAAGGCAAAACAAAACCATAAATATAATTTTGCTTTCGATGTTATAGCCAGCACGTAAGAGTTCTTCGCAAAAAGGTATGAAATATGGGAAGAAAGCATCAACGGAGGCAATAATTTTCGACCAGACTTGAGGCAAAAATATACGATTCCAGGGAATTTGTGTAATGACGCAATGACAACGTCCCTAAGGTTATAACAATAAGATAGATAAAAAAGGTAATATTTTTTTAAAAAATTGACGAAAATCCAAGTTAACCTAAATTTATAACAAACTATTCGAATTAATAATAAATGCAGGTCTTTAAATGTAAATTTTTATTTTTTAAATATTAAAATATTTTTAACCATTATTATAACTCATGAGATTTAGAGACAATAAAATATCGTTTAGCAAACAGTACAATAAATGATCCTTGAGTTAATGACTTATTGGTTGAGATCGGCGCAACATGATCCAAAGAACGGCTTGTGGGCTGGGTAAAAGGATTTTCGGACCAGGCCTGACAAATTGTGATAAATATTTTTATGGGTCGGGCCGAAGTTTTGAAAATTTTTTAAAGGCAAATTTAAGTTATTTTTCTTCATAAAAATTATCACGGGCAGTATATTTCACGGTCCAGGTAAAAATAATTACGGCCCGGCCATAAACCAGATAGGAAATTTTCATAGACTATTAGGTAAAAAATAGATTTTTAAAATAGGAACAAAAGGGTTCAAATGATACCGACTAATAATTAATTCGACCAAATACAAGTATTAAAATATAAGAAAATTCGTCAAATTTAGATGCTTCGCCAACTTGAAAGTATCCTTTTTTAAAAATGGAGTTCACACTAATTAAAAATGAATAAATTTTGTAGGGCTGTGCCGATCCACATAATTTTCACCGATCCGATCCGATATTTATTTTCCTATATTGGTTCAAAACCGATCCGATATTTATACTGATACCACCCCCTTTGAACTAAATGTAATTATTAAATCAATATTTTTTATGCAAAAAATCGAATTAATGAATCTTTCATTATTCCTCCTCGTAAAATCAGAATTCTGCAGATAACGCATTTTGAAAAATTATCTTTGTCTTTTGTAAAATATTTCCATAATTTAGATACCATATTTTAAAAAATTCTTTTATTTAAAGTATAAATAATAAAATTGTCGTTATTCTTTAAGAAGATTTAAAATAAATAAAACTTTGGTGTTCCTTTCTATTTTTATAAAATAACTTTTAAATATTATAAATCTATTTATTTGCATTGTTTAAAAAAAATATTTAGAAAATATTTTAATAATGTAAAATAAATATACATAACATAAAATAAAATAACAAAAAAAAGATCGGATCGAATTTTTACAGGTATCGTCCCCATCCTATATTTTGGAAAACGTGAAATATCGGTGCCGATCCGTAATATCGGCACAGCCCTAATTTTTTCTAATATTTTCAATAGATATATAATGCCTATTTAACAAGGTATATTTTTATAATTAATATGAATGAATAATATATATTTTATGCCCAAATTTCATAGAAAGATTGGTCTAAAATACATCATGGCATCTTAGAATATTAATAATAAAATTAGCAGAAAGTTCCTTAGACCTAAAAAGAGAGTTCAAATGGAAAAGGTACGTGTAGGGACATCTACTCCTGAGTAGGAATGATGCGTGATCATCATTGAAATAGCAAGAAGTAGGTAGTTATGGACACTATCATCTATATTGGAGGGGACAGGGGGGCTGTTTTTATTTTGGATTTTTTTTCTTAATAATTTTGATTTGGCAAGCGGGGATTAGGGAGTAAATTGTCATTGTCTTAGGGGGGATAGAAATCACAGGGTGCATAAATTATTAAGAGACCAGATTAGATATGTTAGTCTAATTGTAGCAAGTAAGATTAATAATTTGACATACATATGATGTATAAAATTTTATTTAAACTAAGAGTATTTATTACTCGTTGCACGCTATCAAATTGACTGGGGATATAGATATAGAATTCCGCCATTTCAACTTTTGTAATTGAAGTTCTTTATCATGAGAATTTTGGTCAGATAGGTAGTAAGCCGAGATTGTGGTTACATATTGGTCGTCGTTTAATTTACAATTTTTAATTTCTAATGTTATGGGTGATAACGATTTATTTGTGATCTAATATATACGTTAAGAATTTATAGTTGAGTTTAAAATAGCTCATAATATAACTAATATTGTACACATTTATAGGGCAACATCAGTATGAAATATTGGATCGGATAGACCGTTATTAGCCATATTTAAAACCCAATCTGATACTTTATCTTATGTTCATAATTTAGAATTACTAAAAAAATTTACTTTATTAGTAAAAATTTTTAAATAATAAAACATAATACTCATATTTTATTCTGATATATTTTTAATTTGGGTTAGAATGGAAATATTGATATACATAATAGATAAATGGGCATATGCACCACCCTACTTCATTGATATAAGCACACCCTTGATTTTTGAGCTTACATTAATTTTCAAATTTAATTTTTATCAATAAGGAAAATGTAAGTGTTTAAACATGGTCACTTGTGCATAAATATCCGCCCAATATGCTATAATCACCATATTTTTGCCTATGTTAATTTATCTACCATATTTTTTAAAAATAACAATTTAATCCTATACCCTTTTTAGTTTTATTTTCTTCAAAAAGATAGAAACCACAAATATCCATATTGAGATTAACATATCTAAATAAACAATATATTCTGGCAGAAAAATAGAAAATCAACTAAAGTTGGTCTATATCAAAAATATAATCTAAATGGACTTCTATAATTAAATGAAAAGTGTCCTTAGAAACTTGTTCATTCAATGGGATCGTAAGATTAAAAAAAATTGATATGAAATTATGTAACATCTTTTATATAACATAAAAGAATTTTCAACAATATTAAAAGAAAAGAGTAAATTGGGGAAAAGGCAATGGAAGAACACAAGTCTTAGTCCCAGAAGAAATAAGATTTTTTTAAAAAACAAGGAGAAAGTTTCCATCCTGAATGCTTAAAGAACAGTGAAGTTTCCAGATAGTATATTATTGGATAAAGTACTATAAGTTTTCTTTATAAATATATTAAATTCTATTAAAAATCTAGATATCCTCAGCGAAGCATAATCTCATCAATTTATTTATTAGAAGAATGGAGCTCCCTGTCATACCGTTAAATCTATAAAACCTGGTTAAATGATCATAATACCAATTTATTGGATTGGCCAACATCTTCTCCCAAAATATTTGGGATGTATTAAAACGTGAGCTTAGAAAGAAGGGACCTTAGAAGAATTATTTAGAAAATAAATTAGTTTATATGTCGAAATCGATATAATAGAATATGTTCCAGTATCAGTTAAATGCCATAAAGAATAGCTGCAGTTATAAAGGCTAAGGGTTATATATTTTAAATCATGTATATTTTAATTATCAATATTTAAATCTAATTTAGGTTATATTTGTTCATTACAAATTTCTATTCTATAATAATAAAAAATTTTGATACTAAATTTGAGCGTTCAAATTATTTTATAAATTAAAAATTCATTAAGCTTAAAAAAAATAAGAGTGGGCGGATATCAATGAAATGAATTATTGGACATTCTGCGTCGATCCGGTTTAGGTAAACATCAAGAAATAATGAATATAAAATTGTGGATAGTTGCCGCCCTAATTTTAAAGGTTATCGTAGAGAAATAATATAAAACTTCTTGCAAATCAAATCTTAAAAGAAAACCAATGTTTGAATGTAAAGTTAATAAAGATCAAACATACTTGAAGAGTAAATGAATTCTGAAGGTAAGGTATCGATAACTGTTGAGTATTACTTTCAATAATCAAATTTTTATTTGAAACATTATGCTAAAAAAATATAATAAAAAGGTTATTTATATTAAGTATTATATATATTAAAATGTCGAAATTGAGATCATATATTTTAGAAAAATAACATGTGTGGGGGGGGGGGGGGGGGTCCTTATCATCAAAAAGTTAAATTTATTAATTGACAAACCTTTATAAAAAAAATCCAATAATCCATTATGATACTCTGAATTGAAATATATTGATCTTTTGGCGTACAATATGGTCAAAGAATAGGAATCAAACATAACACTATTATTTATCAAGCCAAACCGGGTCTATATTTTATTAAGGTGTTAATCCAAGGCTTGGATTATTGTATAAAAAATTTGAGGCTAGTCCGAGTAAAAATTTTTACAAAGAGCCGAAATCGCTTTTCAAAATTCTTAGTGGGCCAGTTAAGGCCGATTTCAATATGCAGTCAGGATTTATAAAAACATTAATTATAATGGTAATTAAATAATTTTCCTTTACGATATATTTGTATGGGCTGTTGCTAGGTTCTGGATTTAATTGTTTCTGGAATTTTTGATTTATGGCATCAACGTTAAAATTGAATTGATCTTGTTTATGTGATGAATTTCTTTTTTTTAAAAAAAATATTTAGAAATTATGGTGCCTAATATCTTTCACACATAAACTTTTATAAAATTAAATAATAGTAAAAATGGCATACAATGTTGCTGTTTTAGTTATGCAACGCGATTCTTTCACGTTGGCCAAAATGTTTGTGTGAGAGGACAGGTCCTAAAAAATATCTATAACCAAATGAAAAATAAAAATGTTAGACTTGTTGTTTATCTAGGTTAGTCGTTAGGGAGGCTCTTTTTTCAACTTTTATATTGCTCTTTTTGGCTGCAGATGTATTGAATATTTGTGCTATGCCATTAGATATAAGTAGTCTGTTATTATTCGAAAATATATATTATTAGATGTAACATATTATAACACATTTGATAAACTATTTCTCAATATTTTTTATTTATTCTAGCTTGATTATGATAGAATTTTTTTAAAAACTCCATTTGGTTAAAATTAATCTAGAATCAAGATCGTATTCTTAGGTGTCCACTTCGCCTCTTAACGTTCAAATAACCCTTTAAAAATATAAATATCTATATCGGATCGGCAGGGATAATGACGATTTGAAGTTGATCGGCCTATCTTTTTATACAACCGTTTCATTACTGATTTCTTAAGTTTTTTCTTCAACATTAATTTATATTGAGTAAATTTAAAAAAAAATTTATTATATTTTTAAAAGGTATATAATATATTGGCAATTTTATAAATAATCATTTAAATTTATCAAATAATTTTGAAATATTAATTAATTTGTATTAAAAATTAAAATAATTTGGGACGATTATGGTCAATTACAAAGAAAATGTTGCGAAATGTATAATTTATTTAATAGGTTGGACGAAAAAAAATTAATTTAATAGCACTAACCTACGAAAACATCGAGAAAGGTAACACAAAAAATTATTTAAAACAACAAGACCCTGAAAAAAATACTGAAAAAAGTAAATAATATCTAAATATAAATGATTTTATCCGTCTAAGATGCTCCGCGAGATTAATACATCATCTGTGTCCAAATTATCAAATTCCAGGTCGATAAAAATATTTAAAAATCCTTCATTTTTTTCAGAAATTGGTGATTACTAAAATTTATGAAGAATTATCAAAAAATGGAGATTAATTTTATATAATTTAAAGAGTTGTGATGGGATTTGCATGAACTATATATTCAAACTTTTTTAAATCAAATATTTCGGATTTATAAAAAAAATTATATGATTTAACAACCATTTTATAATTTCTTGACCTTTACCCATACAAAATAAAATGAGTGATGCTGTATTTATAGTAAGCGCGATATGCTCAAGTGATGCAAAATTAATCGCTAGCAAATCACAGCTGATTTGCTGCAGCTATAATACTTTTTGAAATATATGTCAACAGCTGTGGCGATTTCATCATTTAGATCCGTGTTTATAAATTATATCTATTAGCTTGCTTTTGTAAATAACGCAGTAATTAATTTCGCATCGCTTGAACAAATAACACGTACTATATATGAGACGTAAGATAAGGATAATATTTAAGTTATAAATTAAGGTAAAAATCGATATCGGATCTAAATTGAATCAATTTTTTTTAAGTCCTGATCAAAAAATAATCGATATCGGTTAAAAAGATGGATTGGTCCAGGCAGCCCTATAAAAAATATAGATTTTATTTAATAATGTTAACTTATATTTGATTCTTAAAAAAATCGATGAAATTTTTATGTAAATGAAGTCAGAATTCTATAATATAAATAAAAATTGGCGTTAAATATCTGCTAAGTAACATTATATATATTTTTACCTTGTAAAAAGTGTTTCGAAATGATACATTTCAAGTTTAGAATAATATTTTTCAGGGTAAATTGTCATATTAAATTATGTTTAGAAGATTAATAGAAGTAATTCAATTACTCTTTTTTTATATTAAATATCAATTTACATTTTTTTTTAAATGAAGGTAACCTTCTCCTTAACATGTATGTCAAATGACCAAAGAAAAACTACAATAGGGATTATATACATAAGCAAAAAATAAAAATATCATTTGGTATGTATTTAAAACTGTTATCTATCAAAGAAAATTTTAATTTCCCGTATTTATTTAAATTTAAGAAATAAATGAAGTACCATTCGACCCGTGTATCCTCTATTTAATTAATTTTTTAAGACTACATCCACGGTTGATTTATTTTTCGTAAGAATAAATGCATTCAGATATATTAATATTGTTTAAGAAAAGTGAATAAGCTTTGAAGGGTAGGGTAAAATAATAATTTACGTTTCTTCGAAATTTGGTATGAAAATAGGTGTAATCCTCCTTTTTCCGCCAGGTAATCGTAATTCAATTTGTCTATCCAGGGGTTTCTTGAAAATAACCATAAATATTAATTTTAAAATAGAAATAAAACCTCATATTTTTGGGGAAAAGAATCTTTATACAGTTTCTTAGTGACATTCGCGTTATCCTTTTTATGTCGGGGGAAATTTTTTTCGAGTGGGTTTAGTAAATCGTATTCGCTGCCATAAATCTTCTTTTGCATTACGAGCTTTTCTTCTTTGGATAAGGCTACCCCAATTTCTTCGCTATCAAGCTCAACATAGGCAACTGTTCCATCCAATGAACAAGTCAGCAAATATTTACCGTTACTTCCCCTATTTCCAAAAATTATAAACATTTTAAGAAAAACGTAAGGTCGAATGTATCGTGATTCTATAATATTATTATAAAATTCTAACACCCTTGGATAAATTTCACAAGAGTGATAGAACCCTATCACAATCAAGTGATTATATTATTTTAAAAAAACAATTAAATAACTTGCCATGATATATCCATGATAGGCTGCATGAATAAACTGTGAATTACAACCAATGGTCTTTTCAAAGCGGTCATCTAAGATTTGAAAATATATATATAAAATAAATAAACTTTTCCTTTTTGTGTGAATAAAAGTCATGTTATGTAACATAGCAAAAATTCATGAATGCGTTTTAACCATGGTTCTGGGTTGGAAGCTCAGAAATTTGAGATTATTTTGTTGGACATTTTGAGAACATGGATCAAACAAGAATAATTTATGGACCAACTCAAGCAAGCGTATTTTAGGACCGGGGTGGGCTCGGCCACACTTTAGAAGATCGGCTAATATTAAATTTTTTATTAAAATTTTAGTAATAAAACAATTCTAAATTTTTGAATCCCGAACCCGTAGCAAGAAACCTGGTTTTAATAGACCTAAAAGAAACATTAAGGAATGCGGAATTGTGCAATCATGAATTCAAGGCCATTTTGGGAGTATTCCAATCCAATAACTAAAAGAATATGTCATGTACATTGAAAATATATTTTTATTTATTTTTAAATTAAATAATTCCTTACCCAGATTGATAAAGAACGATCTTTGCTTCCAAGAGCGCATACTGAGTACTGTTGAGGCTGAAATTTGATTTGTTTGTTAAATAAAATATATAATTTAATATAATAAAAATATGCCATGTAAAAATAGAAATAGGAAGGAAAAAAATAAACATACTTTATTAGTGCCTTTTTTGATTTTTTTCATGAGAATATTGGGGTTAAATCTCTATAATATGAAGAAAGGAAAAATAACTATATATTTATTATTGAATAAAATAAACTGGAGATGCTTATATATTATATATTTTTTTATTGGAAGGTTAAATATAATATTAAGAAAATATGTTAGAGAGGAGTGGACTTGCCATTAGCCTATAAGGAAAATTCCTATGAGGCTGATGGAAAAAAAGAGAAAGGGAATCCCTCGATAAATACTGCAGATAGAAATTCTAAAAATCCAATGTAAAAATTCAGTTTTAGGCATTTTTTATAAATAAAATAAATATCATAGACCTGCAGAGATTAAAAAAATTTGGCTTGACTCGGATTTGACATTTTGATCATTATACTGCCAAGCCTGGAATAGATAAAATTCTTTATTTTAAATAATTTTTGGCTTTAGTATGCAAAATTTTCAAAATGGAAAAATGAGCAGTTAAATGAATATTAAATGCGCAACATTATATGAGTTTTCGACTAATTCATATAATTTGTTAAATCGGCCCAGCCTATGTGTAAAAAAACATTTTTCAGCCTACCTTATCCCGGTTATAATTTTAAAATTTACGGTTCAGTCAGTATAAAGGGCCTTGCTTTGGTCCAGACCTTCAGATTATTGATAAATATTTTAAATAATGTCTAGGTTAAGGTAAATATAATATTGGACATTTAATAAAATTTACTATACAGTAAGGCCGTTATCAACTTACGAGAGCTCAATTTAAGCAAAATTTTTAGCTTTATTTTTCGAAATTAGCAAGAATAGTTTATCAAAAATTAGCCCAAAAAAAAGGTTTCACATATTAGCACAAAAATTTCTAAATAAAAAAAAGGAGCCCCCCTTTTGAGCACATTATAGTGGGGCATAATCTTGGCAAATATATTAGAGGTCTGCAAAGTGAATTTTTCGCTGCCCGAGCTCAAATATTTTTAAAAAATTTGTCTGAGCCTAAGAGTCCGAATTCAAATTTTATTTTCAACCCGATCCAAACCCGACTAATTTTTTTAAATTTGAGTATGAATCTTATAATATCCAAAAACAATTAAAAATTATGTGTATTACCTTAAAAAAGTTTATTTAACCGCCATAATATAATCAATATTTATATAAAGTTGCATTTTATTTAAATTGAAAAAATATACCTTTTATTCAGTTTAAATACAATCGAATTTAAAAATTATTGCGATTATATAAAAATAAAACATATAAAGATATATCATTATCAATAGTATCACATAGTGAATAATTGTGATATATAATAATGAGGGGAGTTTGTCAGGCTTTAAACAAGTTCTCCTATCTATAAAAGCCCTACCAGCCATTGAAAGCGCTCTTTCACTACTAGCCGAGGAAGCAGGGATAGCCCGGATTTTGAGAACCAAAACACTAAAATTGGGAGTCGTTTTGATAAGACTTTTAAATATTGAAAATTTGAGACTATTTAATTAAATAGATATTAGAAATATTTTAATTAACCTGATAGAATATGATGTAAATAAAGTATGTAATAATAACACAAAAATATAATAACAAAATAGTTTACTAAACCGATGTTACGTAAAATAATAATTGAAAATGATATTATTCTGATTGACATCTTAATGATGAAATGTGTTAGATAAAAAAAGGCATGTTATTCTAATCGAAATTATGAATTAAAATGATTATTTAGGATATTTATATTTATTTATCAGATTGGGCTTCGGGTCGGACTCTTACAACCCGACCCGAAAATAAAGGCTGTTAGAACCCGACCCAACGGAGAGCCCATGCAGACCTCTAACGTATATTCTCTCATCGGTCGGTTAGAAGGGGTTAGATGATGTTGATTACGATTAATTTTGTCATCTTTCTCTTTGGACAATCATGTCCAAACTAGTTGAATGTCAAACTTAATTTCCAGCATATATTTTAATCTTAGGTCTATTAAAGTTTAAAAAAATCTATGGTAATTTCAAGATATTTTTAAATTTGTATTCCATTTAGATCTAATTTTAAGGTAACTAACATCAGTATTTTGAATAAATATTCTACCTTTATTACATGAAAAATTTTTGCCACTTAAAAATTTTATTTTTAAGAAAATTTGTGATCATAGAGGTCAATCATAGTCTGGGAGAGTTAAGAACAAATTTTTTTAGATTTTTATTATTTACCAGGTTTATTAAAATATGAAATTTAAAATAAAATCTGAATGAGTTAGGCCAGAAATTGACATTTTTGGGTGATTTATAATGGAATATATTATATAACTTACGACACAGGTGATAGCCTTGCGATGACCCACGAAATCCATGTTTACCTTCCAGCCGTTTCTTTCGATGATTTGCGCGGTAGGGCCAGAATTGTTCATGGCGTGAGCAGAAACAATATAATGACCATCGGGAGACCATCCCAATCTCAACACGTGAGTAGTGCCGGCACACTTTAAAATACAAGGATGATTATTATTATATTATTTTATATAATAAAATTTTGCAGAATTATTTTACAAAGACATTTTATTCACTTATTCATTCATTATTTCTCTCTCTTTCTTCCAATATCGAAGTTTAATATGATAAAATTTAGGTTTAATAAAAACAAGCATTTATTGCAAAAAAATTATTAATCTATCTCTAAATATTTTCGATATTTTCAAAATAATGAGACATAAAAAGTTATGATAAATTGTCAGAACACAAAAATTCTTTCTCTCGTGAATAAAATTTCCAGAAAAATATATACATTTTTTAAAAAAATTTAAGATTATACTACAATCTGAATTAAAAAGCTTGACTAAATATAATTAAATTATTGAGCAGGTCTTGCTTAACCAAATTATTTTATATTGTAAGAATATCTGATTAAAAAATTATTTAAAATAACTTTACTTTATAATAGGCCTTTTCAAAAATGAATCAAATTGTAAGGAAATCGTAAATTATTCGTTATGTGCGAATATATATAATGATTCTATTTCAAAAAATCGCATGTTATATAAAGAAAAAACAATAAGAAATTGCCCTAAAAATTGGGTTGGCATTATAAATTAAATTTATTATTATAATGATGTATTTTATAAATAAGGAAAATCTATATAATTATTATTAATTATAAATTATTCACGTTTTCGTTTAAATATCTCCTTTTTTTTAGAGTAGTTAAAAATTTCCAAGATTCAATAATTGCTATGGAATTCTGCCAATCTTCAATAAAACGCTCAAATATCTCACCCAACAAATCAAATTTTTAAATTAAAAAAAATGCAAGTGGAATACTATTGCGATCGGGAAGGTTAGATTTCTTTAGAAATTAAAAGGTTATAAAACATAACGATGAAAAATTATTTGATATTGTAAATAATTTATCTGATTTATTACAAATATAAAATATGATGGCATTTACGAAATATTATTGCAATTTAATTTATAACTATATCCTTTTTAATAAAATTATATTACTCATAGAATTGGAACTCCACTTGGGCAAAAGATTAAAATGAGAAAATCAACATTAAAGTTTAAAATCAAATATAGGGAAAATTTATTGATCAATTTAATTAAAAATTTCAGAGATAATTTATCATATTATTAGTTATTTACTGTTTAAAAAATTTTTATTCAAAAAAAATTAAATATAAAATTTATTTGATAAAATCAAAATGCAAATGAATTAAATATAACACTTTATGATGATTTTTTTTATGTTCAAAATGCTCCATTTACATTTTTTAAAATAAAATTTAATAAATAAATTCAAAATAATAACTTCAAATCATCGAAATTAACACTATATCTTAATTTTTTTCTATTTTACTCATGTAATAATGATCTTTAACAAGAATTTATGATAATTCATCAAATTTTTTAGAATATAACTCATAAAATATTTTATAATTGAAACTTCCCTTAAGGTACTCCTTTGAAGAGTCTTTTTGCCTGTAATGTGAAAAGACTCTTGGAATAGTGTTTATGTGATCAATGATAAAATCTTTATCTCCGAAATAACTTTTTTTTAGTATTATTAACTTTTCTAGAAGCCAAATCAGTTCCAGTTGGCATAAATTTTTAAAGAAACAAATATTATGTTTATTACTTATTCAAGTGTTTGTAATTAAAAATTATCCACAAACTCGAACTTTAACATTCTCCAATACAAAAAAATTAAATTATGAATAGTTTTTATAAATTAAAGAATCTTTTTTTCCCTTATACGATGTTCTAACAGTAAATTTACTATATCCCTTAGCTTCATCAGCCAAGCTCCAAAAAGCCTCGTGAATATTTTTTTTCCTCTGATCAACATTAGCTTTTTTATGACACTGAAATATATATTTATTCAAATATCTTTTTTTAAATATTAATATAGGCCTCACCTATTTCTCTTACTCATTTTCTTTCAATGCCTTTACTTTTAGATATTTAAGGATAATATTAAGTACTTATATGTAAAATTTAAATTCAATTTTTATATCTTTATTTAATGAACATGTAATGCTTAATAAAAAAAATAGTAAAATTTTATATAATTAAATATAAATTTAATTTTAAATCTTTAAATTATTAGCAAGTAGATTATTAAAAAATTGTGATAAATTTTTTATACAATTACTTAATTTCAAATTCAATTTCTATATCTTTATTTAATGAGCAAATAATGCTTAATTATAATTTTTAAATAATTTGGGAATAGATATGGAATAAAAATATTTTACGATTAAGGAAAAAAAATTAAAAATGGAGGGAAATATAATACGTGATTAAATAAGATAATAGGATAGGCCATGCATATGAAGCAAAATTAACATCGTTATATGCAAATAGCGCAAAATTGACAGTTATAACTTCGGCAAAAATTAATATTTTTTAATCTAGTTTTTATTTTATATATATTGGGAATAAATAAGTTACTATCCACTTCTAACTCAAAAATTTTGAAAATGGTGAGTGGAGCACTCCAATTCTAGATCGACGATATAATACCAGACTTTTTAATTCTTCAGATTGTATAAAGCTTTTAAAAAAAATTAATATTTTTATCTTTCTGGGCATCTTGGGACATTTTATCTATTGGACATATTATCTTTGTCCCTGGACATTTTAAACAGTCATGTTAAATGACCACATAAACTAAATAAAATAATAATATATATTTATATATAAAGATAATTGTTTAGTTTAATTGATTACTTCTTTGAAAGGTTTTGTGATCTGAACTTCTTGTTTCCAGTTCGCAGTGCGCCATATTCTTAATGTTCTGTCTTCTGACTAAATATTTTTACAAAAATTGCAATATGATCTGGTCGAATGGATAAATTTATGTAAAAAATAATAAAAATTTATATTCAGGGCGTGTTTAGGTCAATGATTTTTTTATAAAAATTCAAAATTTTTTTTAATTTAAAACTATTTTTTTATATTTTATATTTTTTTAATTTAAAACTATTTTTTTATATTCTAGATTTTTAAAGGTAGAATCTAGTGAACAAATATGATAAGTTATATATTCTCTTAAAACCGGTGATTAATAAAATTCTATTTCAATAAATTCTGCATTAATTATGATAATGTTTGATTAATTACTTCATGAATTTATAAAATTTTCGCGTCAAAGATCAAAAGTTGAATAAGTTTATGTGCAACTAAAATGAAATCGAAATAATAAATGATGAAGGCCATCTTAATCTCCTTTAAGTTTAGATAAATCTTTAGTTATGGCTCAAACTAAGAGAAATGGACTTGATTTCGCTTGTCAGCACAACCATCATTAAACATACATTAAATTCACATCTATCGCAAAATATCATTTCGCAAAATAAAGACCTTTTCTCTTTGTTTGAGCCAGGTCTTATGGTTAAAATTATAATAATATAAATACATATTCATCCAATACTATTATAAGTTTCACTCCAAACATCATTATTTATTTAGTTTTAAGATCAAATAAAGCATCCAAATATATAATAAAAACTAAAAATAGAGGATGAAATTTAAAATAAACATAAAAATTGTTAGAGCAACCTATAAAAATATAAGATTATCTATATAGAATATAATTGACCCTAAGATTTTTATCCACACTCTGTTTTATACTTTTTTAAAAAATTCATACTTGAGTAGCCAGATATTTGCCGGTAGGATCCCAAGTGGCACCTTTAACTAATCCAGTATGACCTTTGATCACGTGAATGATATCTGCGCGTAAAATAAAAATTAAATAAAAAATATTCCTGTGGAAAAAATTTACCTGGAAATTTGAGCGCGTCCCAGATAATTATAGTGTTATCGACACTACAGGTAGCCAAATAAGCATCGTGAGGAGACCATGAAACGTCCAGTACATCTGTTAAATAAATTATAAAGGTAACTAAATAAAATACATTTTTTGCCAAAATAATAAGTAAATAATAAATAAAAACGAGCACATCCTATAAAAGTGGGATTTTGGCAGATAAAATTTCTAGTAACCATATAAAATAAATGAAAGAAGTGATTTTTGCATGTACACGGCATGAAAATAAAACCTCCAACATGGGCCCTTAACATGTAATGAGATTTCCAGTATTCCCCAGTGATATCCTTGGATATATTTTTGTAAGCCATTTTCCAAATGATGATCAATTTGTCGTCACTCCCCGAAGCTAAATATTCGCCCGAATTTGACCATCTAACGCAATTGACGCAAGCTTGACGTGAAATGTATGTTAGTAGAGATTAGGAATTATTATAATCATAATAGCATTTACATAAATGGTTATCCATTTGGCATAAAATTTTAGGAATGGCGTCATTTTTTTCTTTATCCTCGTTAACGACCGGATCCATGTTCCATATTACTATTTTCCCACATTCATTTCCTAAATCGATCGCCAAAAATAATATAAAATATAATTATTCTCTTTTAGATTTACACTTTATTTTTTACTTTCTATTATAAATACATAAATACTTTTTCTTTATTTTTTATTGTATATGAAAAATAATCCCGGAAACGTCCCCCCCCCCAGGAAAATTTGACAGTGTGAAAGGAATTGGTAAATATACCATATCCAAATTTATTATTAACATTTTCATATCTAATTTTTTTAAAGAAAATAACACATTTGATGACTTTGCTCAACACTTTAACTTGTTTATTACTTATATAAATAACGCTTTTTGAAATTCTCTCACATAATATAAGATAGGTACAGACCAAATAACATAATTTGCTATTTTACCTAATATTCTTCAGACTAAATTCAGGAAAAGTCGTATTTGAAGGTTACTCATATACCATCCATAAAAAATGCTTAGACTATATAAGATGGCGCTATTCCAGGTATTCATCTTTTAAATGTCGAACAATATAATCTTCAACACTTCAAAATCAAGATCCAATACTTGAAAAAGCGCATATACAATCAATATTGACGGATTAGCAGCAATGAAATCCATTTCTAACATGAAGAAGCGAGCAGACTTTTTAGTATTAAACCTGTTCAAATTTATGCAGAGAAAGTTGTAAAATTAGACAAAAACGTTTAGTCACACATGTTATCGAAGGGGTCAATAAAAAAGAACCCTTAGGAATCATATCAAAAGACCTAGTTATAGAAGGTATTTAGTTTAGATATCATTATATTTTCATGAAAATTGGGCAAATTGTGATCCCCAGAAGTTTTTATTAGATAATGGCCCAAATCATGTTTGCAATGGATGAATCTTGAAATTATTAGTAAATATAACAGCATGGTATATGGATGGAAGTTATGCTATGCTTCCAAAAAAATTTCTTATGTCATTCCGAGTATCCACAAACGCTATTTTTAGCTGTTTATTGTGTACTCAAAAAAAACGCTAAAAAATAGGTATAGCTAATAATGGCGATTTAGAATATTTGGTTTTAAAATATATGGCACGGCCCGGGTATTTTTTTTTAAAAAAAATTTAAAGTCCAGCCCGGGTATTTTAAAAATATAAAAATTTTCAGGTTCCGCCCTGGTATATCTAAAAAAATTAAAATACGGCCAGGCCTGTGCACCCTGGCCTACAGGTCTCTTATACATGCTTGGATTTCGAAAAGTCTGCTATGAGCTTGGTTAAAACTATCATTGGTATGATTATTAATTTTTTTAATTAGGGGGATCATACCGTAATTATGCTTTCTATTTGTGTCATAGTACACATAGAAAAATTAAGAAGCTAAACCTAGTCAATACAAGACCGGTGAATTTAAAACTTTTTTTGTGGCATGATGGAAGGCTTAGAATTTGTTCACTGAAAAAATGTATTGTATTCAAATATTTTATAAGGATAATAATATAATTATCTATCCATTTTTACCCTAAAAAACTTAACAATATTATATAAACCATTTACAATAGTTAACAATTATTGTAAAAACTATGAAATTTTTCCAATTCTGATTACCAGAGGTCTGCCTTGGGCAAGGTTTCGGCCCGCCCATTGGCAAAAAATTTTTTAACAACGGGCTGGTGGGCGGGCGGGTTAAAAAAATTTTAAAATATTGGCGGGTCCCACCTACTGTGTGGGCGGGTTATGAAATTTAAACAATGTGCGGGCGGGTTAAAAAAATTTTAAATCATTTAAGTAAATATTAATAAAAAATTGTTCTTATGAACTTTTTGGGATATTAAAAATTAAAATGTCCTTTTTTGGTATCATAAAAAGTTTTTTTTTAAAATAAATAAACTTTTTTGTATATAAAAAACTACTTTGGTGGAAACGACAAAAAAGAGATATGCCAAAGCTATCAAGATTAGCAAGAAAAATAATGGCAATTCCTGCAACTAGTGCTTCTTCTGAACGAGGATTTAGCTTTGCTGGAAGGTCTTTAGAATAAAGAAGAATATATTTGATCCAGAAAATGTTGATTCATTATTATTTTTGCATTTATCAATTTTATATTTTTTTCATAAATATTTTATTTGATCAAATAAATCATCCATAATTTAAATTGAATTTTTTTTATGCTTAATATAGTAATTTCCTAAATTATAAAGCTTTTTGTAGAGGTGTAATGCTGAATTTTTATTTATTAGATGCTTAAAAAATTGAAAGAATGGCCATAATTAAATTTTATAATAGCGGGTTTGGGTTAAAATTTGGCGGCTAAAAAATTTTAGACTAATGGGCGGGCGGGTATATTTTTTTTTGAAACTATGGGTGGGATATAAATTTTTTAAAACATTGGGTGGGCGAGCCTAAGGTCCAAAAACCCGCCCAATGCAGACTTCTAGGCTTTACCATGTCTTATTTTATTATATAGCAAACATAATTGTACAATAAATAAATTGTGCAAGTTTAAAGTTTATAACCACCTTATAATAAATTACTTGTAATAATATTTTCACATCCTTTTCTGTTAAAAAACGATCATGATATAGTATATTAATAGATATACAATCAAGTTGTTAGCCATCAAAATTCATAAGTAGAATATTTTCAATAGGCTAAATATTCATCCTCTACTCCATAACAGAATAATCATCTTTAAGGATTCAATATGAGAAAAAATAGTTAGAATAAATAAATAGTTATAAAAATTATATTAAATTATTCTTAATCTTAAAATTAACAATTTCATATATAAATATATTGAAGGTATTTTAATACCTAATATTTGAATTTATAATTTGAGGATTACTTTGAGCTATGTCATTAACACTATTTGATTCATAGACAGAATCTGAATGGTTGATTCCATTCTTTTCTCTTTTCCACCCCCCCCCCATCTTGAATATGTTTTTGTTCATTTCATTTGTTCAAATCTAATTCATCAATAGAATCTAATTCATTGATAGAATTAGAATCATCATGAGAATAAACTGCATGCTTATGAATGGCTAATTTAGCCAACATATCAACATAACTCATATGGTTTTGTATTTGATTCATAAAATTAGACTACATTTATTATTTCTTAAATTTTGTGAGCAAGAATAATTTGGTAATGTTTACCAAACGTAATTTGATTTCAGCTGCCAGTTTATAATTCCTTTGTTGTTTAATTAGATTATTTTTTAGGTTATTGAAGTTTGTTTATGTAAAAATTTTTTGAAAAAACGTTACCTTACCCAATGCAAATTTTTTTTAGCACATTTAGCAGGCCAGGATGATCTACTATTGCTTTGAATTTATTTTTAATTATTATTAAAAAAAATTATTTTTTTGAGGATAAGGATAAAAGATTTCTTTTGCTAAGAAGAATAATTATATTTTCCTCTACTAAAGATAATTGTGATGTAGATTGTTAGAATGTTTATAATAAAATTGATATCATTAGCTATATTAGTATTTTATTTAATCACATTTTGATAATATATTTTTATTTTATTGATATTCAAATCTGTTGATTAATAGTTTATCATTAATTTTTAATTCATTAATCAAATCTAATTAATATTTGTGTTTATTTAAATATTTTTTAAACTATTTAACACCACAATATTTGATTTGTGGTCCTTTTGTAAGTAATAGAGGAAAATATCAATATTGATATCTGAAAATCTTTTGCCTTTGTAAACAAAAAAATACCAATATTTATTTTTTATTATAAATAATTACATGTATGATCAAAACAATAGAAATTTCATTTATTTTAAACAAAATTATTCTCATTGTAAAGATAAATTTATATCTTAGTTGTATTTTTAAAATTTTATTTTATTTTAATGATATAAATTATATTTATAATAGTATTTTGATATTAAATAAAATTTAAAAATATTAAAAAGAAAAATCTATAAAATAAAACAAGAATTAAAATATGATAATTATATACCAAAAAAAATGTTTATTTTCATCAGTGTGTTTTGTTGAGTAGAAATTTAATGAGAACTAATGTGGGAGTTAAATAATTCAATAGGTTTGAGAGGATATATGATAAAAGCCATTGGATAAAATGTTAATATTTATTTTGCTAATTTTTGCATCCAATTTTAATTTAACATAAATATTCAAATAAAGTATGAATGATTAAATATTGAATCCTATATTTTTTATTATTCCCAAATCACAATAAAATCAAAAAATATATAAAATTGTAATAAATGTGACTATTATATTATTTTTTAAAATAAAGACTATTCTAAAAAGGACTAATTATTTATATCAGAAATTTATAATATTGATCATGATTTAAATAAACTGTGAATATATATATAATATTATACTGAATTACCAGTTTTCTAATGAATATATATAAGGAATAAATTAAAATATTAACCTAATCCCCCTGTAGCAAAGCGTTTGAGATTAGGGTGAATATCTATTGAATAAATAGCACAACCTAATAATAAATATTTACATATCATAAACAAATTAACATTACCATTGTGATTAACCCATTGAGGTTTTAAAAGTTTCATTTGATATTCCTAGATCCCAAAATAGAATTAAAAAATGCTTAGTGAAAAAATGTTGGGCTCGGTTTAAATATAGGTATCGTCTCTCTAGTGGCTATTGTTACTTGCAACTATTGTTGCATTTAAAAAATTATAAAAAAAGTAAAATTTTCATTTTTTAAAGAACGCATGTTCTTTTTTTTTTACCATTAACGATATTTATTTATTTCAAAATAATTTTTTTTTTATTAATAAATAAATATATTTTTTTTCATAAATAAAAATTATTTTATTAAAAATTAGCTCTCCATTTTTTTTTATAATTAATTAAAGTCAATATTTTTTTATTAAATTTTCTTTTTTAAGCTATAATTTCGAATAATAGATAACAGCAGAAGAATTCCATGAAAATGACCAAAAAAACAAAATAGATTATATCTTAATTCTTTTTATACTATAGGCATTACAATAAACTGGATAAATTGAGACTCTTCATAAGCAAATATTTTTATTAAGCTATAAATATGTTTTTTTCCTAATTAATTAAAATTTTCATGTTTAATCTAATTTTCACAATATATATTTAGTCTACACTAAAAATAGATAATAGCAGAAGAATCCCATGAAAATGACCAAATAAACAACTCAAAACTTAGATAAATAGATTATATCTTAATTCTTTTTATACTATAGGCATTACAATAAACTGGATAAATTGAGACTCTTTTTAAGCAAATATTTATTTCTTTTTCATAACATTTGTATTTTAAATATGATTACACTATTTAAATATATTATTATAATAAAAATAGATACAATTATAATAATTTTGAATGCAATTTGTGAAATGACAAGGTTTTAGGTAATTGTAATTGATCCTGTATGGGTAGTTCTATATTCTCTTTATATAATTGTAGATTTTCTTTGGGTAGGTCTAGATTCTCTTTGGATAATTGTAGATTTTCTTGATTCGTGATATCCTGCATTATAGAAAGATCGATTTCATTATCTATTTCTTTATTTAAAGCTTTTTTTTTGTTAAAAATACTGTATTTTTTTCTTTTTTCTATTTATTTTTTCAGGCATTTTTAAATTTTTAACTAATTCTAAGGAATTAGAAGATGATGGTAAACTATTAATATTCTCTTTGTTTTCCAATGTATTTATTCTTTTTTTTAAGATATTCTAGGTTACATACCTTTTCACATGTTTCTTTTAATTCCTGAAAGCATATAATCATCAGGTAATTTTTATTTAGCCATTCTTTTAAAATGAAGAATGACGAATATCTAACATTTACTACAAAAGGTATGTAATAATAATAAATAAAATTTTTACCTGCAAGAGTTGTATCTATCTCATAATTTCCAGTAGGGCTTGATTCGATCATAGGAGGGACTAATACCATAAAAAAATATTTGGCTTAAAAAAATATATTTTTTACCTGCAATAGTATCTATTGCACAATTTCCAGTAGGGTTTAATTAATTATAAAAAAAATGGGGAGCTAATTTTTAATAATATAATTTTTATTTATGAAAAAAATATATTTATTTATAAATAAAAAAAAATTATTTTGAAATAAATAAATATTGTTAATGGTAAAAAAAAAACAACATGCGTTCTTTAAAAAATGAAAATTTTACTTTTTTTATAATTTTTTAAATGCAACAATAGTTGCAAGTAACAATAGCCTCCCTCTAGTTCGTATTTTTTTTTAATTAGGTGTTTTGTCGTTTTGCTAAAACTTAAATTTTTCCAATTGATTCCCAAAATATCAGTAAGTTAATTTTAAAAATTTTTAAATATATTATAAGTTTATTTAATATTTTAAATATATTTATAGTTAATTTTATATTTTAAATATAATGTAAGTTATTTAAATATTGATTCCCAAAATTTTTAATTGATTCCCATCCCAAAATTTCCAATAAAAAGCTTATAAATTTAGAAATTAAAATATATATTATTTAATTTACATATAATAATTTATATTTTTAAACTAAACATAACAAAGATTGTTGCTAAACTTACTGTTACTCAATTTAGCATCACCATAGAACAAAAACTTGCAAACCAATCCAAAGTAAATAATTTTGATTAATATTTAATCCTAAATTATATCCTTAATTACTGAATTAATGCTTGTGTATTTATATTATAGTATCAAATGTATGTACTGCAGAATGCTAAAGTAAAATGTCTAATTAATATTTACAATAATTTTTCAAAGCTATTAATCTACAAGGTCCAGTTTTGGATAACACAAATAGTCCAAGTAAATTTTAATTATATTAGTATAACTATTTTTTAACAAAGTTATGAACCAAGAGGTCTTGGAGGAAATAGATGCCCATAACAGAAATACCATTATACCAAGTAAATAGTAACTTTTAGATAATTATATTATTTTTAAACAAAGCTATTATTCAAAACAATTCTAACAATCAAATGGTTCAATATAGTTTAATTAAATCAAAATACAACAAAAATATTATCTATTCTAACAAATATTTAATTCAATTTATACATTATCATGCAAAAAAAAAGGAGATTGCATTTTTATATATTAATTTAGATTTTTATTATTTGATATACATTTTATTAATATTATATCAAAGATATATTTATAATACAATTGTGCTGTCTATTATATATTAATAGATCTAGAGTATTAAGAGTTTGCTAAAATATTGTAAATTATCTGCAATTTATTGTTTAGTGTATACTGTTCTTGTATTAATATAAATATTAATTACCATTTAGCTATTTATTTGTCAAATCTCTTACAACGTTTCAAAATTATACAAATTTATAATCGCTTCAAATATATTTGTGGCCATTTTAGGTCATTTGACGTTTTTTCATAAATGTTCATACTAAGAGGTGGACCCATGGTTCCATGCGTGAATGTATAATAACAATCTAATCCATATTAGCGAATATTATTCCGCGAAAAACAATATTGCGAAGAATGAAATAAAAATTTAATATTAATCATTATGAATGGCGATTGAAAATAAATTACATATAAGTGTGAATCTTAAGATTTTACAATCCTTATAGATATATTTTTATCTTTTCTGTTTACTTAGATATAAAATATTAGTTTATATTTTCATAAAATTTGACAGAAATCCGAATATATTAAGACCCCTTAACCACAAAGTTTGGCAAACATTAATTCTGAAGCTTAAGTCAATATGTAATGTCAAATTAGAATACATGTAGGTTAATGCTTCAGCATATATATTATTTTCTTTATTCCTTAATTAAAACTACTTAAAGTAATTTTCACTGAATTCCCAAAAGATGATTTTGCTAAGCAAAAATTTTAATTCAGAATTGAATTTCTTGGAAAATATAATATATCGCTTATAAAATTTACTGGTTTATAATATGAAGGGGTGGAGGTAAACATTTTTACAAAAAATATCAAGACAAGCATATCAAATGGAAGTCAATAAAAAGATTGAGAGTACTATTATAATTACCCATCACTCTATCTAGGCCCTCTCATATCTAGGTTTGAAGAGATCTAAATTTCTTTTATAAGAAATATCCAACAAGGACATCAAATGAAAGCGAATAAAAATATTTTTTAAATGCTATTATCTCTGAGATCTCTGATCTCTATCATTGATAGGGGGAGAAATGGGTAGGTAAGGCCTACTTTAAAATAAATCTCCATATGAGTATTTAAAAAAACGAATTCATTTTATATTAAGTCTGCGCCTGGTTGGGGGGAAGGTAAAGGTAAAATATTTATAATATATATATGGGTATCAAATGGACGCTAAAGGATATGTGTAAATGATTACTCATCTCTGGGGGTGGGGGATAAAAATTATAGCATAATATCTCGACATGAATATCAATAAAAAATATCTTTCGACTGTTTTGCTAATCATTTCTATCACTACAAATCATGAAAATGATCAGATTTTTAAAAGTTTTTTTAACCAGTATAACTTAGCATGGAAAGGGGGGCGGGGTGATAACATGCATTTATGGTTTAAGGAACTTTTATGGGTGAATAATATTGAATATGTTGTTTTCCTTTAAATAAATGCATTCTCAATATATTTATTGTTTTTCGATAATGTGCTAGCGATATTAACCGGCAAATTAGCGGTAGAAAATTTGCTATAAAGGGTTCGCGATAAAAGTTTTGCTAAAATGTATTTGCTATGAAGTATGTGCGGTTAAGGTTTCGCGAAAGTAAATTTCGCAATATTACTTTGCTATAAATTTCTTCCCGATAAACAACAGTCGCGATAAAATTTCGAGTGAAAATGTTTCGCTGAATTGACATGATACGCAAATGTATTACATAATTTGAGCAAATGATAAGTGTTAATAATTTTATTTGTATTAACTTATTGTGAATTACATTGAAAAATAATATATATTTTAAAAAATTTATTTAATATATATCGAAATTCAATGGATATAATATATTAATCTTTCAATATCGATAGTAATCATTTAAAACTTACACAAAAGAATTAAACTTAAAATCAGCCTCCACCTACTCTTAAAGTTATTAAATCATATTTTGTTGTTTGAGAGGTATTAAACTTTTGTACATCCATTTATAAAATGTTATCCAAGGAATATTTTTAAACTTGATTAAAAATATAAAATAAAAACCCATAGTATAAATTCGAGTTTATGATTAAATTTCGAAATAATCTATATTATAATTTTCCGATGTCCTCACTACGTCATCGTGACGTCATGTCATCGCTACATCATGTCATCGCTACGTCATGTCATCGCTACGTCATGTCATCGGTACGTAGTATTATTTTTATTGATTTTTTTTTTTTTATTGATTTTTTTTTTTTTTTATAGAAAATATTTTTAGACATGAAGCCCAATAAAATCTACCAAATGCAAAATAAATTATTCATCTATATATACTAAAAAGGCTTATACTTTTCATTTTAGAATACTTAGCTTATGATGGATGATATTCCCACTATTTCTAGAGAGATTAACCTAATATTGACTCCTCTTCAGGTTTAATACATTAATATATTTTTTATTTATTCTTTTGTTTTTATTTTAGATAACAAACCATGTCCCAACCTCACTTAATGATTGTACAGGTGGTATATTGACTCCTCATCAGGTTCAATGCATTTATTTTTTTTTATTTATTCTTCTGTTTTTATTTTAGGCAACAAGCC